GTTTGTTTATTTTTATGTGGTGGGTGCTGAGGATTGAACCCAGTGCCTCACACATGCTAGGTAAACGTTCTGCCACTGAGCTATAGCCCCAACYCATGTAGCTTGTTCTTTTAGGTAACAGTTTTCCAAAATGTTAACCAGAAGAAAGGGTATGGTATTGCTTTGAAGGACACTGAGACAAAAGGTTACTTTAAAACCTTTGTACAAAACATAGTGGGTCCACAGGTGTATGTGTGGGTTTAYTGTCTTGAAAGAAGGCAGCTGACAAGAAATATGAAAAAAAAAAAAATCTATGAACTCCCGAGGAAACAGATGGGGTACACAGGTTTATTCATCCCCAATCCTAGCATGCTAGAATTACAGGTTACTCTCTGAAATTCCAAAAGAGCAAATTTAGGACACATAGGATCAAATTGAACAGAATCTTTAGGACACTACTAAATTGTGTCTAATATCCACAAAGCAACAAAAGCCAAACCCAAGATAAAGCATGTGAGAAAGGCTGTTTGCTCTCCCAATATTGGAGATAGTTGGAACAAAGAGAGAAAATCCATTAGGTGAGGCCAGGGGAGATACTCTTTTTCTTATTTTAGACAAAGTGATGCAAGGATTCTTGGGAAATCTAATTAGAGGTTGAGTTTGCTCTTTACTCTTTGCTGACAACCTCTTTGCTTTCTCAGTTCTTTAAACCACTGGGCTCAGCACCCCTGCCTTTGTCCCAAGCTGACTGGATGGACAAGAGTTTCATACTTGAGACCCAAAGTTTTCTGAGAGCTGGGGGGAAATGGGTGGGGGGGCGGGAGGGAGGCGCAAATTCATTGTCTTCCTGAGCTTTACAGTCAGAGGGATAAAATGTTGAAAAAGGGTTGAGGTCTTTGAAAGGTGAATTCTGGTGGCTCTATTCAATAGCCTAATAAAAACCTAGTTAAATACTTAAACCAATAGTAGTTGAAGAAAATGATGGTGCTATGGTGTTGAGCCCTGCTTAGCTTGCTGTATTCTTGTTGTATGTTGTGACTCCTAGATATTTTAAGCTACCCTTGGATAAAATCAGCTCTTCTCATGATCCATCTTTCCCTTTTATAGGGAAAATTTAAAAAATTGAAAAAAAATCCCAGGAAAACAAAATAAAAGCAAAAAAAAAAAAAAAAAAAAACAACTCAGCACACCCCAATTTCAAGTTAACCTGACTGTACTTTTTTATTGTATCATTTGCAAGTCTTTTCCTTATAGATAGTTTAAAACAAAACAAAAAACAGTAGTTTCAATTATAATTGTACTTTCAAAATGTTAAATCACTGGTTCTCAACTGAGGTAGGCGATTTTGCTCCCCTGGGGACATTTAGCAAGATCTGGAAACACTTGGTTGTCACAACTGGGCAGGTGTGCTACTGACATCTAAGGAGTAGAGGCCAGGGATGTCGATCAATAGCCTACAAGGCACAGGACATCTCCCACATGTCAATGATGTTGTGGTTAAGAAACCCTGTGTTGAATCATTAGTATTAAGTCACAGTTTCTAGCATGAATAATCATCTTTTAAAAAAGTGCATGAATTAAACCTCTATGCCATCATAATAATCAATTCTCTGATAGACTTCTAGGCTGTTTCCAATTTTTCTCTATTAAGGTAATGCTGCAATGGATATGTTTACTCATTTTTCCCCCTGCTGAATTATTTCCTTCATATAAATTTCTAGAAGTCAGATATACTGAGTCAATGGGGATGAATACCTTTTCATATTTCATGAGTCATATTGCCATTGCTTTACAAATGAATCCAACCAAATTATAATACAGCATAAGTTTGTAGGTGTACCAGTTTTACCAACACCTTGGCAGCTCTGGGTGCAATCGTTTAAAAAAGTGGGAGGTGGCAGAAATCTCAATATGGAATTTGCCTCAATATGCATTTAATTTGCTACTCAGAAAAAATATTGCTATTAGGATGAATATTTTTTCCATATTTGTTTTCTATTACCATCTTTTTTTTTTTTTTTTTTAATGGTGATGCTGGGGATTGAACCCAGGGCCTTGTGCATGCTAGGCAAGCATTCCACCACTGAGCCACACCCCACCATCATTTTTTAATGTTAATTGCTTATGTCTTTTGCTTATTCTTTGGACTGGTTCTCAATGTTGATCTGAATCTTTATTGAGTATGGACAGTAATGTTAAAGTCAATGAAACTATTTTACTTTTTCTAGTTTTACTTTCTACCACGGCAGAGATATGTTAATGATTCTTTGAGGAATTTTAATACTCTTTTTAGGTGCTGGTCACCTCACCCAACCTGCAGCCTCCACAGAGAGGCCCTGGGGAGGAGGAAAAGCTCTCTGGCGATTGATGTCAGCTACCCACAGAGGGAAGAGCAGCGTTTGGTCTCTGAAGGTATCCTAGGAACTAATTTCCCTTAATGAAATGCAGGGCCTGAGGAGGAGCCACAAGGCAGAAAGGGAAATAAATCTGAAGAACACCAAATTCGGTGAGGAGTTGGGAGGACCTGCATTAAAAAAAGGGCACCGTACCTTTAGGACTTCAGAACTGGCAAGGCTCCATCCATATGCAGCTATTAATATGCAAAAAATGCCTTCATAAATACTTGATTCTGTTCACAGTGGGGAGGCAGTTCATTTGAAAGAGGAAATGGGAGCTTGGAGTTGAAACATGTCTGCTTGTCTCCTTTTTCTTTTTTCATTGCTCTTTTCATCTCCACATTTCCCCTTGTAGTTTTCTTCCCCCTCTTTCCCACAACTTAACCCCCTCTTCCAACTCCTAGAAGTTGCTCATGGCAGTTGCTGCTTTCATTTCTACTGAAGGATTTACCGCCGAGGCCCTGATCCTCCTGATCTTCTGGTCAGACGTGGAAGGGGTGCCTCAGGGGCTCTTCTCACCTTTTGCTATCCTTTCAGAGTGTTCTGCAGGCTACTGGGGGCAGGATCCTAACCAGTTCTGCTCCGGCCAGGGCGTGGGGTGCTCAATCCCACCAGTAGGGGGCACCAGAGGCAACTTCCCAAACCTGGAAACTCCACTCAACCCAGGCTGCTAAGCACAGTCTCCCTGACTCTCCCACCCACAGATTGTCTTGGTACCAAAATATCCCACCTTTGGGATAGCCCGCCCCACCCCCACACCTCAGCAGGCACTGTGATTTAAAAAAAAAATATTTTATGTGGCTCCCTTTGGGGCCAGATCCCAAGGGAGGGGGGTTGAGTTAGTGGGGGAATTAATGGAAAAAAAAAAACCCAAAACAAACAAACAAACAAAAAACAAGGGCAGGAACGGCTGATGCTGATTACAATCAATTTTGTGTGATATCGTCGCCTGCTTCAGAGTGGGAAAGGCCACAGTGGAAGGAATCCACCCTGTTTGCCAGTGGCCCATCAAGGTAGGTAACTGAAATCTGCTGTGCAGAAATTTGTTTCTAAATCCTTTCCAGATGCTTTATAGTAAACATGAAATTAGTCATTTATGTGGASTGGGTTGAGGAAGTGGTTAACATGGAAGTCAGTGATTAATCCAATAAAGGGCCATTAGCTTTGAGAATTAGGGGCTGTGAGAGGCCATAAGTACCCCTAAACTTCTCCCCATTTTCTCTGGGTTTGGGGACTGGTGGGGCCCCTTAGACTTTTCCTCAAAGGGTTTCTTATTCAGGCTTTTTTCTAAAGGAATAAAAACCACTGAGACTTTATAAGGAATCAACTGGTTCTGAAGGAAACTATCCCCTCTTTTCACAAAGGAGGTCCATGAAGTTCTCATAGTAAGTTCTCATAGTAAAGCCTGTCACAGCTATGCAGGAGGAACCAGGATTCAAATTTAAGACCCAGGGCCTGGTGCTCTTCTTTCTGACAGCAAAGTTCATGACTGAGTCTAGGACTTAATATTACATGACTGAGGTTCTCTTTCATCCCCAGTGATGTTAAAATGCAGTCATGGGGCTGCATGAATTTGAAGTGTGGAGGAGGCATCTGCATGGCCTTTGGAGTTGTGGAATTACCAAAATATACCATATTATATTTTCCTTAGTCACGAGTTCTCTTATTTATTTATTTATTTATTTTAAAAAAGCCTCTAGATTCCTTATAAGGGGTGTCTTCAAAAATAGGCATTTAAAAAAACAAAAAACAAAAAACTTTTACGGTTGGTTCTGTGGTTGCTCGGTAGCAGGGAAAGGCGGCCCAGCTGTGTTGACCTCAGCAGAGGCCAGACCCAAGCCTGGGTTCCAACAGTGAGCTCAGGCCCACCTTAGAAGCCTGCATGGGCACTGGGGAAACACCCATTTCTACTGTTATTTTTAACAGGTGAGGGGGAGGAGGGKAGCCAGACTGTGGCAGGAAGTTGGAGATATGGGAGAAATAAGAGATCATGGCCCCAGAGACTGTCACACAGCTGGGAGAGACTGGAGTGCCCTGGGCTTTGCGCTGCTTCTGCCTCAAGTTCTTTGAGACTTGGATTCGGCTCTAGGAATTGCCCTGAGTTGACTCTCTAGCGGGAATCTGAAGGTGGTCCCAGCCTCAGAGCTTCCAAAGAAGAAGCAGACTTGTAAATATTTCTGCACATATGACCTTGAAACACTAATAGATATTCCTAGTATCTATTAATAGAGGAAATGTTTTTTCTCCATGATCATCGCAATTTTTTCCATGACTGCTAATTTCCCCCTCCCCCATTAGGGATGAAAATGTGTGCCTTTTGCCTCAATAGAGGATAGCTTTTTGGTGTTTCCTTGTTCCTTCTCTGAGTTTTAACAAGTCAGGGAAAAGCCTTCTCAGCCTATTGATATACATGAAGATCCAGACAATAGTCCAAGCTCAGTTAAAACATTCCTAGTCTGAGTATAGTAACCTCTGTGATGTGATGGTTTATGTGCTTCATTTTAGTGAGTAGGCAAAAGAGGCTCAGAGAGGTAAGAATCTCACCTAGGGTCACTCAGCAAGCTGGAATAAGAACCCAAGRGTCTTAATCACGAGTATCATGCTCATTCAGAGTCAGTACTATACCTGCTTCTCTGTTGTTTGGGTCAAAGGTGAAATTTCATAAAGATTCATGCGAAGATTGGTTCCAGATTCAGTGTTTGCTATGTTGAAAATCGGAGAGAAAAAGAATCAAGGTTGTCATATCTAGGTCTCATGAATTTTTATATGAACCACACACATGCACCCCTACTTCATAGGTATGTAAAATTATAAACACATATACACCTATGGAATTCAGATTTATCCACCAAATAACACCTGTAACTTTTACAGGCACAGACTCAACACCACACTATACATGGTGTTAAGACCTTGTATTCAAATTTGGATTTTTTCTTGTTTTGGTTGCTCTTTAGAAGAACAAAAGTAAATTCTTCGTGCTATTAAAATTCAAATAACTCTGAAATTAAAAAGGAAATATTGATGGAAAAAACCTGCTGATGCTGTGGAATATAAATTTTGTATGATTACCCTTTGCTAAAGTAGGAAATGCTTCTGCAAGCTCCCAGATAGAGAGATGAGAGACTTCAGTTTCCCTTCAAAATGTGGACCATCGACAGGAGAGGTGGGAGCAAGGAACAAAGGAAGGTCAAGGCTGAGGTGGGGCTGGTGGGAGGAGACTAATGGACGTGATGAAGACTGTCTAGAGGCAGGAACCACATGGTGTTGTGTGTAATCCCCAGGATTCTCCTCTATGATGATATGGAATGCCAACAACTAGTGAGGGCTTCAGTCCAAAACTGTCTGACTCTAAGACTCCATGATGCTTCAGGGTAGAATTTATTTTTTCTTTTTCTCTCCCTAAGAAAGTAACTGTAATGTTTATAAAGGAATGTTTATTTGAGGAAAAGATTTAGCTAAGCACATGGCTCTACTCATAAGGATTCTAGTCTCCTCTAAGGGATCAGTGTCCAACAAAAAGTTCTCTCCATTCTTGGTTCATAAGTAGCTCTTTTACGAGCCTGTGACCATCCATGACTCTGTATTTTATTTTTGTCTTTTTGACCTGAAGAAAGGTCCCCTGTGGGTTAATCTTCCGTCCCCCCCCCTCCTCAGCCATTCCCTTCTGTCTTATTTGAAAATGGCTTCTGCAGAGACTTTAAACATTTCTTATTTTAAGTCAGGTTGGGGGGAAACTGAGGCCTAGAGTGGTTTTATGAGATTGGCTCAAGGCCGTATCTCAGAATAGCACAAGACCAGGAACCAGAACCCAGATGTCCTGACTTAACGTCTTGTGCTTCTCCCTCCACATCCCTGCCTCCTGTTCGCCTCGCTTGGAGCTTGCCACATCGCAGCTGCCTGGCGGCGATCCATCCTCTGGACAAATCCGGCCCAGCCGAATTGTGTTGCGATGAGGTTCACTTCACTGTGGCTTGGAAAGAACCTTGGGTCTCTCAGAAACGAAACTTATAAATTCTAATGCATAAGGGAAGTTCTTGCAACACCAGGAGAATGAATCAGTCAGCCAGAGTTCAAGAAATGTAAACACATTTTTAGATAGGAGACTGAAAAATCACTTAGGACTTCTCATCTCTTGGGTCAAGACCCTGGTAATTTACTGAGGTCCCAGCTGTCAAGGAGGAGACACCACTCCAACTGCATTCCTGGGAGATAAAGCAATGGGGGTGGTAAAACTGCCTCTTGGAACAATATGGAAAGATCTATCCCTGCGATCAAGTCAGAGAAACCGACTAACCCGTTGACCAACCCTGGGACCTGCCTGTGAACACAAGGCCTGGTTCTCCTCCTTGCCCATGAGCTGGTGTGTACATCACGGGCGACACACTGCACCACTTCCAGGCATGCGTGAACCTGGGAGCTCACAGTCTTTGTGTGATGAACATTTCTGCCACTAAAGAGATAAACAGAAAACACATTCCTTCCCTGGCTGCCCACCATCAGGCCCCAACAGATTTTCAAACGCTTGCATTAATCTAACCACAGGCTTTTAGTGAGGAGATAGCATTCCTAGCCAGATAACCAGGCCGTCTCAGAGATGACCCTTATTAGAGGGGGTCTCATCCCAAACCCCTTCTGCCTTTTCAGATCATGGGATCCTTCAGCTAACACTCAAAACCTAAAAAGTAGGAAAGAGCATCAGATTCTAGACAGAATATGGCCTCTTAAAATTTCCTTCTAAKTCCCCGCGGACAGTGTTCCATTCCCAAGTTGTTGTTTAAAGAGAAATGGAACATAATCATAATTATGACAATTGTTTCAAGGTACTTATTTCCTTTGGTACGGGCCTCATGGGCCTCATCTGATGTCAAAATAGAAACCTAACTACAAAGAGTCACCTTATCAGGCTAGGAGGGCCACCTGGCTCCTTCCTAGATACATGTCAGGGCTTGGCAAAGAACATGGACCTTCCTACAGGCTCCGAGGTGGCCATATTTTCTGTGGTTACCAGGGCAGTAGTGGTTGGAGGCGTTGGCAGGAACCTCTTTAAATCTGTTTAGGGCCTTTTCCCACCCATACAATCTCTCTTTCTGATTACTAGAATGCTCTCATGGAACCCATAACTTGTAGTATCTCATTGCCTGGGACATTTCCACAGCCAAAAAGATCTCAGAAACTGCCCCGCCTTCCCACGGCTTCATAATGGACTTGCTGGCCCCAGCAGAAACCAGTAGGTGAAGGCTTAAGTGCCAGCCCTGGTACCTTCATGGTTTTGTGTTTTTGGTCATAAATGGAAAATGCAAATGCAGATTCCAAATTATTAAAATAAAATTCTTCCCAGTATAAACTTAACTATAAAAGGARGAATTATTCTGGTCCTGCTGGCCTTAAGAATATCTAAAAATACTTTATTTTATATGGGGTGACTCAAGATGCCTATGACCTATAGAGCGTTTGTAGCATTATAATAAATTTTAAGTCKGCCTGTTTCATGAAGGAGACCAAGACCCAAGATGGCCTTTTGGTATTGTAATTATCAAATTCTTGGGACAAGATTTAAGACCCTGTTTATGCTGCACAGTCTCCCTTTAAATCTTCCTAGATGAGGAGGAGGGTGAGATAGGCATATCAAATAGTTCCTGGAGACCTGAGAAAGTCTCCAGGCTAAAGAYATACCCCTGGGAGTAGATGGATCTAGAAAATATGAGTCAGTCTGAATTTAAATGTGGAAGTGCCTAGCAAATAGGAGGGCTGTATTTTTCCTCCAATTTGGAATAGCAGTCCTTTTATTTACTTATATTTTCTTAGACAAAGGCTAGCTAAGTCTCAAAGATCTGGCTTTCGTTTTGGGAATACCAGCTTCTCTCAAAAGTTTATGAATTATTTTTAATGGGGAAGTCCAAAGGTGCATGGCAGTTTACCAAGCCCCAAATGGAAGCCAAGTTAGATGATGGAATTTAAATTTGAATTGTGTTGTAACAATATGTCAACTACGTGAGAAGCCCTCCAATCAGGATACATCACAGGATTGATTAGGATATTTGTGATAGAAGACCGACCCTGTGGAGGAAGGGAATTAAAGAAAGAGCTGAAACTACATCTGCATACAAAGTGACCAGCCAGTTCAGTTTCTGTGATAGTCTCTATCTCTTCTTTACTTTTTTTTTTTTTAATTTAATTTTTTTCCTCCAGTACCAGGGATTGGACCCAGGGGCACTCAGCCACTGAGCCACATCCCCAGCTGGTGTTTACATTAATTTTCAAATGAGGAATTGAATGGAGAATAGAGGAAAATCCTTAGGCCACAGGGGAATGTGTGAAGAAAGCAAGAGCAACAGAAACCAAGAGGGAAAAAAGCCTTAAGAAAAAACTCATTAAAAAAAAGAGAGAGAGAGAGAGAGAGAGAAAAAAAAAAAAGAAAAATCTCATGCTTTTAATGACTGTTTTTGATGAGAAGATAACACAAATATTTGAAATGTGATAAAAAAGAAAATAATATTTATAAGGCTGGGGATGTAGCTCAGTGCTAGAGTGCTTACCTAACATGTGTGAGGCCCTGGGTTCAATTCCAGTTCAGGAAAAAGGTATTCTAAAAAATATTTATTGGGCTTGGGTTGTGGCTCAGCAGTAGAGCACTCACCTGGCACATGCGAGGCCCTGGGTTCGATTTTCTTTCTTTCTTTCTTTCTTTCTTTCTTTCTTTCTTTCTTTATTTATTTTTCAGTTTTTGGCAGACACAACATCTTTCTTTGTATGTGGTGCTAAGGATCAAACCYGGGCCGCACGCATGCCAGGCGAGCGTGCTACCGCTTGAGCCACATCCCCAGCCCCCCTGGGTTCGATTTTCAGCACCACATATAAATAAAATAAAGGTATTATGTCAACAACAACTAAAAAAATTTTTAAAAATATTTATTGATGACTGGTTAATGAAAATTATAATTTTTTTGATTACTCTGACAAAATTTCATGTTTTAAGTTTTATTATAGGTTGAGAAATAAAACTGATACACACCATGCAAGCACACACACAATTTTAAAATTCATTCCAGCTTGAAAATGCATTTTACCAAATACTTCACTGCTTGGGCCTCTTCCCTCATGCATTTCACATACTGAATGACAGCAGATCCTGGCTACCTGGGAGGGACACACCTTGAGAATTTTAAGAATCCTTAGATTTGTGAATATCCCTGATATATCATATCTATAGTAAAACTGAAGTTGGAGTGAAAAAAGAGAGAGGGTTCTTTAGACTATTAGTGAATCTATAAGTAAAAGGTTAGAGAGATTTATAAAACTATTTTTTTTTTTTGGAAATAGAATCATCAAATTGTTAGACCATTTCACTTTTTCTTACTTTCATCTCTGGCCCAAGAGTTGGTCTTTTAGGGCTTTTACAAATGTATATGTGTATATGTATRTTTAGGTTATATATATGAATATTATATAAATGAATAAAGGCTCTTCTATGTAAAATAATGGCAACAAGAGCTATTGCAGATGTTATAATGACTATAGACCACAATACGGAGACATGGTGCTGGCGTGTTGTCAGGCTCATCTAYTAGCTTAGTGATGGTCTTCTTCCAGCCTTGTAGTGTTTATGATTTGACTTCATGCCTCTGTAAAATATAAATTATATGGGTTCCTGACCTTTTTTTTCCTTGTGTTTAATACTGGGAATTGAACCCAGGGGTGTGCATTATCACTGAGCTACATTCCCAGCCTGCCCCCCSCCCTTTTTTTGTACCAGGGATTGAATCCAGGGGCGCTTAACCACCAAGCCACATCTCTAGTCATTTTTATTTTATATTTTGGGACAGGGTCTCATTAAGTTGCTTTAAGGCCTTGCTAAATTACTGAGGTTGGCTTTGAACTTACAATCCTCCTGCCTCAGCCTCCCAAATTGCTGGGATTACAGATGTGYACCACAGCACCTGGCTGTATCCCTAACTTTTAAAATAATTTGCAAATAATTGAAACCAACTTTCACATTCACAAATACCCATAAAGTTCACCATCTATGTAATATATATGGAATACTATCACTTAATTTTTTTTGTAGTTGTAGAGGGACAGCATGACTTTATTTTATTTGTTTATTTTTATGTGGTGCCAAGGATTGAACCCAGTGCCTCATACGTGCCAGGCAAGTGCTCTGTCACTGACTATAGCCCTAGCCTACTCTCACTTTTATTGAAAAAAATGTCCATTAAAACCAAATGACGGGGAGCTGGGGATGTGGCTCAAGCGGTAGCGCRCTCGCCTGGCATGCGTGCGGCCCGGGTTCCATCCTCAGCACCACATACCAACAAAGATGTTGTGTCCGCCGATAAAATAAAAAAATAAATAAATATTAAAATTCTCTCTCTCTCCTCTCTCTCTCCCTCTCTCACTCTCTCTTTAAAAAAAAAAAAAAATGACCAAAAATAAAACAAAATGTTSTAACAGCTGTGTAGGTGATTCCAATGCAAAGATATCATGAATTGCTCTTTTAGCTCAGTTCCAGAGGGTATCAGGTATTTTCATATTACTGTTACATCCGTCTCCTTAAAAATAAATGGGGGATGTTAGACAAAGAGATGTAGGGACTTTTTGTTAAGGTCATTGAGCAAATGGAGGGAACAAATAAAGTTCTTATATTCTAAGTCCTGAAAGAGGCACTCTGAGCTTATGTACGGGCAGTGATTCGAATGCATTTTCCTGAGGATTAATAGGAGTTAACCAAGAAAATTGAGGATAACAGAAAGTAGTACAGGTTGCCGGGGGTTAGGGAACGGGAGAAGGTGAAGTTGTTTATTAGGTATAAAGCTTCAGTTTTGCAAAATGAAAAGAGTTCTTGAGATTGGCTGGTAACAATGTGATTGTAATTCAGTGCTACTATGTACATTTAAAAATGGTTCTGATGGGAAGTTTTAGGTTATGTGTATTGTACCACAATTAAAAAAAAAATACATTGGATAGGAAGAGATGARGATTGTGCCCCAAGCACAGAGAACAGTGTATTTTAAAGTTTGGAAGCAAGAGATTTGTGTTAGTCTGTGATCTTTTAGTTATTAGGAGTAGAGAGGAGAAAGAATAAATTTCTTTTCCCTTTTTATATAGAGCTGGCCATGGGGCCGTGCTGTGAAAGGGTAAGTTTGTTTCTGACACCCTATATTTCCCTTACTGTGCTTCCTCCTTCCAGTGTCCCCCTCTCCATATACTGACATGCTTCTATTCATCCAAGCTCTCTGGGGTCTTCCACCTGTCAGGAATGTTTYAACCCTTAAAACTCCACTTGCTTCCAAATAACTCATCTCTGTTTCTGTCCTGTATCAGAACTTTTAGTCCCTCAGTGCATCTAATCTCAGCTGGGCTGCAAAAGGACTACTGATTAAATTTTCACTAAAGTGTGAATGACTATATATTAGCTTCTCAAAAGTGTGAACCCAGGGCCTTGTGCATGCAAGGCAARTTATTTACCATTGAGCTATACCCTCAGCCCAAGAGGATTCTTCTTAATCCAAAGAAAATCTCTTGTTTGGTGACATTTTAATAAAAAATAAGTGAAATTATAACATTTTTTGGCTGTACTAGGAAGAATGTTTTGGTTTGAAGAACTATCCTGTAAAACAGACTATCTTGATTGAAAATTTGCCTCCACACTGGTTCTCCCATAGTTTTATTTTTTTTTCAGTTTCTTCTCTTTTCCCCATAAATTTGCAAAAAGTCATTTTCAGTGACCCACAAAAGGGTATTTGATACTGAGTAAGGGGAATTGGAGGGGGAGATGGGTGTTCAACAGAAGCCATTTGTTTGAAGAAGTCATTATGAAGTCATATATTATCAGACAGAAATGTGCCTATTTATATTGATACCACTAGTAACCAGGCATATCAGAAAAATGCAGGATTCAATTCTAGCTGTGTACTTCATATAACTTTGGGCAAGTCAGTTAACCTTTCTGAGCCACATTATCCTAGATAAAAAGTGAAGATAGGGGCTGGGGCTGTAGCTCGATGGTAGAGCACTTGCCTCACACATGCGAGGCACTGGATTCGATCCTCAGCACCACATAAAAATAAATAAAATAAATAAAGATACTGAGTCCATCTTAAAAAAATCTTTAAAGAAAAAAAAAAAACCTCAATGTTTGGCATATCAGAGCTAAGTAGGGTAACTATCACTACCACCAGCACCATCATCATTCACCATGATCACCACACTATCACCATCATCATCACCACCATCATCATCAACATCATTATCACCACCACCACCACCATCATCATCTTACTAGAAGGCTGCTATTTCAGAGTTGCTCTGGCCCAATGTGAAAATGAGCAAATGAACACTGAAGTTCCTCCTACTGAGGTCAGGGTGTCTGCTTGAGAAGATAGCAAGGGGGGAATGCAGGGTCTAGACCCGCAGGTATTTCTCTGCTTAGAGATTTTGAGATTGGCAAGGATATGTCTGTGCCTTTTCTTCTACTTTTGCAATCTCTGGCAAGAACAATTGCCTCCACCCAGCTCTGGCTCCAGCCCTCAATCTGTTGCTTCCTGTTACTAGGCCAGATCCCTCCTGCAAGCTGCTTCTCCGCCCCCCCCCCGCCCCCCAAATAAGCAGCAAGGGAGACCACACACATTTCCCTGTTAATCAAAGACTATTTTTAGGAGAGGGAGAGAATGTCTACCTAATCATCATTTCCCCCTGGTCTGAAGCAGCAGCAGCAGCAGCAGCAGCAGCCTTGTCTGTGGGTGGAAGATGAGCTCCGAAGTTTTGTATATCTTTCCATGGGGGAAATGAAACTTATAGGAATCGGAAGAGGCAGAGCTGGCCTCAGTCTTCCACTTAAAATGCAAGTCAGAGGGTCTTTTCCATAGAGCTTCCTAGTTTGTGGTTCTGCAGGCTGAGCTGTGCACAACTCCAGGGAGCAATGTCCACCTCATTACTGTGGGAATTGTACAGTGTACAGCCTGTGGGACCCACAGGACAGCCCTGCAATTTACCCTTCCTGGGCCAGCTAAGTGCAAGCACTTGGTTGGAGCCAAATTCTAGTGTTTTCTAATATTTATACTCAGATTACAGCATACTGGGCTGTCCTTGAGTAATTCATGAGGACTCCACTTTTCTCAGGCTTCCCAAGAAGTAAAGTCCCTTTTACTGGTATATTAGGGGAGGTACAATGTGCTCCTGGAAGTGTAGGTAGGAAAATCATATGTTCACGAGTCAAATGAGACAGACAAGTAGAGACAGTCTTTTAGGGAAAAGCTTACTTTGCAGGACTTGCTGGATACTGGATCCTTCCTCTTCATGGCTGATGTTTGAATAGGCAGATTCATAGGCTGAAAAACAAGCAGGGAGTTTACCTAAGAGTGTGAAAAACTCGAGGAAAGTCCCTTTTCCTTACCCCAAGATAGGGGAAAAAAACAAGGAGATGCCTTGATGCCTAAGCATCAGTTGGACAGTTTTGAGAATCTGTTGATGCCACTAGGGAGAGAATGTTGATCTAGGATTTTTTAAAACATTGAGGAAAATACTGTTTTTAATCTAAGATGTTTAAAGGTGAAACACTCCTGGGCCCATGATGCTGAAATTCTGAGAGAACTTCTAACAGAAGGAACATAAAACAGTGAACGTATGACATACGCTGGAGGAGGTGCCCAGATTTGAAGAGATGTGCAGCCACAGGGCTGAGACACAAGTGTGAGGAGCCCCAGTCTCCAGCTGTAGCTCCCAAACAAGGGGCAAATTGGACCAGGGCAGAGAGGAGGGATCCCAACCCATCTGACTTCAGCCAACAAGAAAAGCTTTTCACACATCTTGATGAATCCTTTTGTGATCTGTTAGAGCCACCAGGAGTGAGAATTCTTCTCCTAACTGTCCTTGTCAGTCAAAATGAAAACATATTAAAACAATGCTGTTTGAATGACTGAAGAGAATAAGGATGACAGACCTAAGAAAGAAAGTTCAGGGACAGGTAACAGCAAAGAGGCCCCATGAGTGGATCCTAAATGAAGGAAGAATGGTTTATAAAGGGAAAGTGTGTGTGTGTGTGTGTGTGTGTGTGTGTGTGTGTGTGTGTAAGGGGGGCGGCCAGAAGTGAGCTAGAGAGAGAAAGATGTGAGATAATAAGAAAGAAAAAGGGAATCCTAGCAAATTTGATCTGGAAAAGAGATCGTTTAGGCTAATGACCCACCTCAATTTATTTCAAGTATTTTATTTGTTTTTGCTTCATTGTCTCATTACTGGTAATAAATATATTAGGGAGTTTGTCCCCCCCCCCAAAAAAAAAGAACGTTTGGTCTTTATTGATTGGCTCAGCGGCTGGGAGGCCTGGGCAAGGCAGCCTCCTGTGCGCCTGCGCGCTGCACCAACGGAGCACATGCACGCCCATCCCCGAGGCGGAGCCGGCGACCTGGGACTCTGAGAGCCCACGGTGGAGGGAGGAAAAGCCATAATTAGTGTTAATTGTTGACCCCACAGTTCAAGAATAGATGCTCTGGAGAATGGAAAATGAGAACAAACATTAATTATTGAGTAGGGACCTTGGAGACAGACACTCTGGATTAAAAGGAGAGAGATAAATTGCATAATGAATGTTAATTTTCCCTCCAAGAATTGAGTGGTCGGTGGTTGCAAAGGAAAAAAGGGGCTATAACAGTCCTGAAAGAGAAAACTCTGTGTGTCGGGTGAGAGGGTAGAGGAGGGTTACCCCAACACTTTCCATCACCATTCATCACCGCACCCTTTGCCTCATTGCTCCCATGAAATCTGCTCTCCGGGTTATCCTTAGAACTCTTTATTTTCCACGGTTGTCTGTTAGAAAGCTCAATCGTTTTCCCTGTAGCATATAAACCAGAAACCAGCCACGCTGCATTACTGACAAGCTGAGGGGCACATACCACTGGATCTATTTTTTTGTGTGCTGTGAGCCCTGTGACTTGAAAGGAGGCCCCTGGAACTGTGGGCCTGTGGGTGCTGTTGCTGGGGTATGTGGGCTCCAGGGCCTTAATTGTTGTTTTATCTTAATTTCAATACAGGAGCCACATATACATCGTCTCCCGCAAAATAATTTCTTAACTAAAAGTAAAAACAGAATAAAGGTAATTACAGCCAATTTTCAGACTCCACAAACAGGCTTGTCACTGGTTACTCTGATTTCAAAATGCTGATTGACATCCCCACATCCAGGCAGTGTCCCTGGGGATCTTCATTTTCATCATCCTCTGACCAGGCTCTTTTTTAAAAATATTTTTTAGTTGTAGATGGATGCAACATCTTTATTTTGTTTATTTATTTTTATGTGGTGCTGAGGATTGAACCCAGTGCTTCACATATGTGAGGCAGGCACTTGGCCACTGAGCTACAATCCCAACCCTGTCCAGGCTTTTATCAGCAGTTGTATGGATGATTTTTCCATAGCCAAGACTCTCTGCCTCTCCTGTTCCTTCATGCTGGCACACACATTGGGTTGCATGACATCCCTTCTCAAACATCTGTGATTCCTTGTTGCCTAAAAGGCAGAATTTCAGCCCTAGCCTGGCACACAAGGCCTTCCCTGGTCTGGCCCTGGCCTTTCAGCCCCACCTCCCTGCCTCTGTGGTCCTCACACTGGGCCACTGCTCATTTCCCACATGTTTGCTACGCCCTTGCCTCTTTTTGTCTTTCTTCATGTGGGTCTCTGAGTGGGCTGTGTTGTTCCTTCCCCTTCTCTGTTTTTTCTACTTATACTAATTTCTCAAAGGTCAGTGAAAAAAGGATTGCTTTGTCAAAGCTGTTCTCAGTCTCCTAAGCTAGAATTATTCACTCCTTCTTTGAGCAACCCTGAACTACGTTGCTTAGGCCTCCTCTATAGATGCATTTCCTTTTGCTTTGTGGCAGAGAAAGTTGCCTGTGAATCTGTTCTCTTGCACAGATTGTGAGGTCTCTGAGGGCATTAGCCACAGTACTGGTGCAGCGTCCTGGGGAGTTGAGTGAGGAAAGCACAGACAGGCCTAGGAAGGAATTCTAGCTCTCCCTTTACCAGGGAAGTTATCTACCTGTGTCCCAATTTCTTCACCAATGATATGTGAATGAAAATATTTCTTATGATTATTGAAATGACAAAATGGGACGACTAATGTAGCCTAGGGCCTGAGAAGGTTCTCTCTCTCTCTCTCTCTCTCTCTCTCTCTCTATATATATATATATATATATATATATATATATATATATTTAGTTATAGGTGGACAAATATCTTTATTTTATTTTTTATGTGGTGCTGAGGATCGAACCAGTGCCTCACGCATGCAAGGCAAGCGCTCTTCCTCTGAGCCACAATCCCAGCCCCTCACTCTCAATATTAACATCCTTTTGTATCCCTTGCACATGGTAGGTGTTCAGAACATTACATCAAAGGAGTCAAACATATGTAATGGGCGTTCTTCTTTTAGGCCCAGTGATAATTTCATATTGGAATTTTACTTAATACTTTACAAGATGGAGTGTAGGTATGAACTATTTTAATTTTCACAGATCAACATGACATAGGCCAGCAGATCATGTTAAGGTACAAAGTAATCTGCTGTAACAAGATGACCTCCTCCCCCCTGCCAAAATAAACATTTGCTTCTCTTTTGCATAAGAGCCCAGAAGTAGATGGGCAGATCAGGATGGTTTTACTCTATGAAGTTACCTGGGCTCCCTGGCTCCTTATATATTTTTGCCTCATTAAACCATTGAGTATGACTTTCTTCTCCATGGTTAAAGCTATTTCCCCACGGCAACCAAGACTAAGCAGAAAGAAGAGGGGCAGGGAAAATGGTTTTCTTTTAAGGAAATGACCTGGAAGTAGCACATATTACTTTCCTTCACATCTCATTAGTCAAAATGTAATCACTTTACAATTTATATATGGAAAATCTGCAAAGGATGCTGAGAAATCATCTTTAGGTAGCCATGTGTTCAGTTAAAGTTCAAGGACAGAGATACTATTAATAAATGGAATAATGGAAGAATGGGTATTGGGGAACAATTAAAGTCTCTACTACTTAATAGTTTTGATCAATGTTTATGGGCAATGCTCTGTGAGTACCAGCTGTTTTCTGGGATATTCAGAAGTAAAGAAGGGGAGTCTACCAACCAAAGTTTTAGATCTAGAAGAGGAAAGAAGAAAAAGGATAAAAAAAGATAAAGTGAGGGAGTGCCTAGTAAGAGGCTTAGACAGTCATACTGTGTGGTTGGGGAGGTCAGGTCAGGTGTCACTATGAAGGTGAGACTTTAGCTAGTTCTGGAAGCCTCAAAGCATGGACAGAAGGGACTAGAGGCAGTGTGATGTTGTGGGAAGACCTCCCACCTAACTAAGCGCAGAACCCCAGATTTGCCATATATATTGTATGATTTTGAGCAAATCACACCTCTCTGAGCCTTAATTTTCTTATCCATAAAATGAGAGTTTTTTGATCATGGCCTTCCAGCTCTAGTGACCTTGCATGGACATTCCCCAACCCCCTCCATAGAATGCCTTACGAGAGGAAGATTTAGCTGGACTATGGAGAGGTTAAGAGAGAAGCAGGACCATCCTCACTTCACTCAAACAGCTCTGCTTTTTTGTTTTTATCTATTGGTGTCTGAGCAAGTCTGATTAAATGCTTCCTTTGCATAAATGCATAGCCTCTGTATGGAGCTAAAATGGGTCAGTCACATGAACCACATACTTCTTTCTAAACAGTGAAGCTCAAGGTCTCTCTCTCTCTCTCTCTCTCTCTCTCTCTCTCTTTTGGTACTAGTCATTGAACCCAGGGGAGATTTACCACTGAGCCACATCTCCAGCCCTTTTTATTCTTTGTTTTGATACAGGGTCTCACTAAGTTGCTTAGGGACTCACTGAGTTGCTGAGGCTGGCTTTCACCTTATGATCCTCCTGCCTCAGCTTCCTGAGTTGCTGGGATTACAGGCATGCACCATCTTGCCCAGCTCCAAGGTCCCTCTTGACTTTAGAGTTCTCCAAAAGGGGAGATAGAATTCCTAGCTTTATATGCTCTGTAAAAAGATATATCATCTGCAAAAAATAAAGATAAATATGCTTCAGTCCTTTTTAGTAAACTTTTTATTCAAAAAAAGAAATTCTAGTATATTCAGAGCAAACTATTATTTTTGACATTTTTCTTCTTTGAAAGTTAAGTGGTGATGATGGTATCTTTTCAGTTAATTATGAGGTCAGGAGTTTTTGTGTTTATAGGAATCACAAGGTTTTTGTCAAAGGGAAGGAAGGAGAGCTCTAATTTTTTTTAGCTTCTCTGCTGGTGGCTATTTGGACACCTTTCAGTGTGGGCTTTGGAGGCCTTCCTGGTTTCTCTGTGGCAATGTCTGGGACAAACACACTGCTACAGCTGGCCTTTTTGCCATCACTCAACACTATGGTACATGTGACTAACCCAATTTAGCTCCATACAGAGGCTGATGGGAATCTTCCATAATTTCTGTAAGAAGAGCTTATTGGTTAGGGTTCAGTGCAGAACAGAAACCACCCACATATTTTTGGAATAAACTGGGTCAAAAAGCTGCTGCAGAGCCTGTGTGGTGGCATAAACTTAGAATCCCAGTGACTTGGAAGACGGAGACAGGAGAATCCCAGTTCAAAGCCAGATTCCACAGTTTAGTGAGATGTTCAGCAACTTAGTGAGACCTTGTCTCTCTCTCTCAATCTGTCAATCAATTAATCAATCGGACTGGGGATGTAGCTCAGTGATGAAGCACTCCTGGGTTAAATCCCCAGCACCAAAAAACAAAACAAAACCCAAAAAGCTCTGTAGCAGCAACTGCTTCTAGTCATGCTCAGTCTTCATGAGCTCAATGCCAGCTTAAGTTGCCCCAGACTTGGACACCTTTGCCTCACTTCTGCTCTCCAAATCTCAAGCAAGCAYATCTAATTGGCAGAACGTAATTTGCATCCAGCCCCCTAGCTGCAAAGGTTATCTGGGAAATGTAGTTTTTAGCCTTCTAGCATCTGTTATACAGAAAGGCCCACTGGGAGGAAATTCTGGGTGCCCAATGACCATATCAGCCATGTTTTCATTTATTCAAACATTTGACCTGAAATCAGTAGAACTGGTAACATCTGCCAACATTATTGCTTTATTAAGAAACACTGGGCAAAAGGAACAATGTAAATTATTACCACATAGATCTCCTCTACCTTTCTCTACTTCTTTCCCACCTAGAGGTGGATGGATTGTGGACCCTGTGATTCAGAACTAATGTTGTAGAATAAGAACAGTCATAAATTAGTGAATGACTGAGATCCTGCTTCAGGATTTAGACAGCAGAACTGCCCCCACTGAGAGTCTCCTTGGGGAAGGGGCATATTTAGAAACATACCCTATCAGAACTGGAAGGGAACCTTAGAAATCAAGAGTTTAGCATTTCCCAAAGTATGTTCCCAAAACAATTTAGATTCACATGATGCGTTGCTGAAAACAAAAGCATTCAGTGATCAAATAAGTTTGGAAAATGATGAATATCCCCATCTGAAAAACTATGATTCACATTAGCAGATGAGAGATTCTATGAAGTCCTTGGTCAGGAATCTGTTTAACTTTAGTCCACTGGTTCCCAAATGGATTTGACCCCAGAACCCTTCCCTTCTGAGGCCCTGGCATTTATTCCATTGGACATGTGCTGTGAAGACTGGATGTAATACCGACTTCTCTGTTTCCATATGAAAAAGTTGAGATCCAAAGGAAAGAAGTGATTTGCCTGTGATCACAGAAACCACAGGTGGTAGAACTGGAAATAAAACCTAAGACTTTAGACATTCAGTCCAGAGTTCTTTTTTCTTCCTTACATGGTATCATCTAATTCTCCTCTGAATCTCTAAGCATCACCTTTAAGACAATAGCTGCTATGAGACAGGCTTCTCAAGGAAAATCATACTTTATCAAATATTCTACCAACATGGTAGGTCTTCCCAAGGGGACCCCACAACTTATCACAAATGACAAAGTGGAGAACAGAAAATCAACTACTGAGCATATGTTTGTCCCCAAATAATCATTGTTTGGAGACCTGGTGAGATATTCTCAGACCCTTGGTCTTTCTGTTTACCAAATCATAGACCATCAGGAAATGACACCAAATATATTAGTCTATTACCATAAAGCAAATTACCCTAAACCCCAGTGACGTAGAGCAATAAACCTGTGTTGTATCTCATCTTTTTGGTGGGAATATGGGAGTGGTGTAGGAGTGGGATTCTGGCTTAGCCTCTCATGAGGTCACAGTTACACCACTAGCCAGGGATGTAGTCATCTGAACACTTAATTGGGGCTGCAGAATCTCCTGTCAAGGCAGCTCACTTGCAGGGCTGAAAAATTCATTCTGCTGTTAGCAGGAGGCTTCGGTTCCTTGCCATGTGGACTGCTTGCCATACACGGCTCGAGTGGCCTCATGGCAGACACAGTGGTTATCTTTCTCCAGAAGGAATAATCTAAGCAAGGAGAAAGCTGCAAGGCCTTTATGATTCCACAATGGTTTCTCCCCCACCAAGGTTTATGTTGAGATTTGATCCCTAAAAGAGAGGTGGTAGGATCTTCAAGAAGTGTTTTGGTCATGAGGGCTCTGCTGTCTCATGGGACCCAAGCAAAACAGTGAGTTCTCACTCTTGAAGGATTCTATTAGTGTGATGTGGGTTATTATAAAGTGAAGCAATCCCCTTGTCTCTCTGGCACTCACTTGCTTTCCCTTCCGTTATGTTATGATGCAGCAGGAGACCCCCCCCCCCGCCCAGAAGCTGAGAAGTGTCAAAGAATTTGTGGACATGTGTTGAAACCACATCCCAGGGAAGAGTTGCAAGGGGAAAGGATGCTAGTTAAATGACAACAAACAAATAGACAAACAACAACAACAACAAAATAAAACAAGAAACATTTTGGGAGTAAAAAAAAAAATCTATTTATACAGGGCAAATGCTAATTAGAACTCTGGAAGAGACCAGGAATTTAAGTTTACACAGATCTGAAATCCCAGTCTGAATCCTTGGCACAAACATTCTTGAACTTCTTGCATTAAAAAGTTCTGAATAAAAGAACTTCTGAGAGAAAACGTCTATTGCTGGCACTGTGACCAGGAGAATGGATGAAGGATTTGAATCAAGGGGTAAGCAATTCAGAAAGCAAATCCAATGTTTTGACTCATATCCGTCCAAGTTGACTTTTTCTTTCTTAAGCCTTTGAATTTTCTAAGTGTTGCAACATCCCAACATGACCAAGAGGGTCAAATTCCAGCTCTAGTCTTCACATCTTTTTTTTTTTTTTTTCTGAAGGTAATATTCATCTCTTGATGCTGTCTGAAAGCAAGAGATCATGATCTAATTGCCTAAGAATTTATTTCCAAATAGTTGTTGACAGAGTCTGAAAGTTTCAGAAAGATCAGACAGATCATATTCCCTCCTTTACTTATTTTTTTTAATTAAAAAAATAAAAACCATGATCTCCAAAGAATTTTCCTTTATGGCACCTGGAGTATTCAGTCAATCAACAAGCATTTCTTGGACATATGATAAAGAAAAAGAGTTCCCTAGATAGGAATATATAGGACTCCTATATTTGGGAGCTAAACAGAAAACAGATGCAGACAAATACAAATACAGTCATCACAGAAGTGAGATCAAGTGAGAGGAATGGGCCAAGGCTACATGGAGGCAGTTGTAAGAGATGAGGATTTATTCAGAAAAAAAGTCCTAGAGTAGATAAAGCTATACTAGATATTTGGGGGATGATCTGGGTAAAGGCTTGGAGAGAAAAGAATGGAGACCAAATGGGCTCCTTAAAGAGATGAGAAAAGGGTGAGCTGGAATGTAAGGGGAGATGAGATGAGAAGGGGAGAATAGAGATGGTGATGGAGATGGATTTGAACAAACTGAGCAGATTCTGGGTAAGAGGGAAAAGTTTTGTTTTCAGTATACTTCTCAAACCAAACCAAAGCAGACCAAAAAAACCAAGTCTCCCCAAAGAAACAAACAACCTTTTCCCTTAATAGAAATTCTTAGAAAGCTAGACTTGTTCTGTAGATCCCTGTAGGAAGATGTGGGTTTAAGAATTTCCCCCACCTTCCAGGGGACCATCCAATCACCAGTAAGGCTGAAGGTCAACCAGTTATATATGGAAGACAGACAAGAAAGAAGAGAGTGACTGACTGAGCAAATTGATTATTGGATCAGCTCATTCATTCAACAAACACATGGTGAATGCCTTTGGATTTGAGAGGCAAGTGGGATTAAATGTATTGTCCATGGGACTGGGACAAAATGGAGACAAGTCTCCATTTATTCAGCACAAATTTCATTTCTCTCTCTACTGGAAATTATCAAAAGATTTCTCTTTTGAAAAATCTATGTGTCAGGGACTGTGCTAGGTGCTGGGAATACTGAAGTGACCGAAGCCCAAATATTTCTTTTTCTGCTTCTGGCTTTTGCTTTGCCAAAAGGGAAACTATGTCTTCTGGAACACAGTGGACAAATGTGCAGCAGGTGAACAGAATCACATTTGCTGTCCAGCTGTTGTACCAGCTGTGCCACACGGGCAGTCCCCTCCACCTGTTTCACTCCTGTTCCCACCAATTCAGAACCAAGATATTCCAAGATATTTTTATACTCATCTCACATAACCCAAGCAGTGATGGAAGTTCTTTGACACTGAATTTGGAACCAAGCACATTCTACTTTCTGGAAATCCACATACTAGGTGGTTACTTCAATAGCAACAGACCCAGGTTGCAAAAGGCAGCAAGTCAGGGGGTTTCTTAGTGGCAAGGAGGTCAGTCCCCTCACTTCTGATGCAGGAACCATGGACAGAGAATGGATGAGGGAATGACCCAAAGTCATCCGGCCACATAGAGGACAAGCCAGGGTGACTCAAATCTCCTGGCTTTAATTCCACACTTTTTAAAAAATTTTTATTAAGCCAGTTATGGCATAACCCACCAAATGAGTGCAGCTTTTCTTCTCCCTCATTGAGGGGCCTGCTGGCTGCACAACTCATGTGGACACATCATGTCAATTTCAGGGTGGTTGACACCCTCTGACTTTGTCTTTTTCCTTTTGCAAAATGGTTACTGCCCAGAGCCAGCATCTCTTTTCCAAAAAGTGAATGTGCCAGGAGGAGTTTTGGAAACTGCTTTGTTATCTGTTAGGAGCCAGATGATTCACAGCAATGAACCAACACACATGACAAGGATACCTGATCGGATTACCAATTAGCCACCTCCACCTCTGGAGAGTGGTTGGAAAGAAGAGAAAAGGCAGTGTTTAGTTTGGGCAAATACCAAAAGGGCTTTATCATCCCCATCAGGGCATCAGCATGGCACAGTAGACCTCTTCCAAACCATTCCTCTGGAACTCCTCTCTCCAGATGCTCCAGCAAGAGTGAACTTGTTATGTGAACATAGGGTTATTGTGTCTGAGCTACAGAAGCACCTCTGTGTCAGCGAGAGGGGAGAAACCGGCTGACTTGTGTCTGTTTTTAATGATGTCTCTGCTGCTGTGGAATTTTGGAAGCTGCAGGTAAAAATCTTTCCCTTTGAAGCCAAGGCTGACCTGGGATATGTCAGCTCACTCTTGACCTGGCAGTAGCCTTGGTTCCGGTGGGCTCTGGGAGGGAAGGGCAGATGTTTTCTCCATCTGGACCCAGCAAGAAGCGCCCCAGTGTAGGATCTCTGGAATCTTCTTGAAAATAAGCATAAGCATGGGCAACATTAGCCCCAGTGTGGGTGAGGGAGGCTGAACCTGGAATGTTATGTTCCCCTAATCCCTGATGGGTACGTGCTCGCAGTTGCTGGTGTGCTCAGGTGCCTGCCAGAGTCCAGGACAAGCCCTACACCTGGGAGGTGGAAGAGCAGAGCCATTGCTTAGGCCCTGTCCTCTGGGGGTCAAGAAGGGATGAATAAGGAGGGGGCAGCCACAAGCCCCTATCATGCCTTTGTGAGAGTCCAGAGAAGGTAGTCTCTTTGGCCTCTTGGGTGCAGGGCAAGGCTTCTGGGGGCACCTCATATGACAGGAAGGAAGCCCTTTCTCCAGGTTGTACAGCCTAGCCTCTAGGCATGGGGCTGGTGACTTCTGCCTCTGCTTTCCCTGTCCTTCAGATGCCTCTGGGCAGCACTCAGCCTGCTTAGCTGACACCTGGACACAAATGCTGGCGCTGCTTAGGCATTCCAGCGGCTCAGGCCAAGGAGCAGAAGGAAGCCATGTTTCCTTCAGTTACTTAAAAAGAATGAAGGTGTCTCTATAACCTTACTATAAAGGCAAAAGTAAATAAATTAATTAAAAAACAAAACAAGAATCCAAATAACTCTTTTCACCTACTCTACTCTCACATTCACCACAGAACACTTCTGTGACCAGATATGTGAAGGTTTTTTTCCCCCCACACCAAGCACGTCTCTAGCAGACCGAGACTTGGCATCCTATTACTCAATTCAGTCCTGACATTATCTACCTGGAGATGGCTCCCACAGGGTGAGGACTCAGTTCCACAAGACTGCTCCTACTTCAGATACCCATYGAACATCCCGGTGGGTGGCTTGTGCTTCTGACTCCCTCCTTGAACATAATATTTTTGCTCCTTGGCTCCCAGAACTCAAAGAAACACTTAAGTTTACTGGTTTGTTATAAAAGATGTAAAAGCTGGAGGTAAATACCAGATGAAGAGATGCATAGGGTGAGGTCTGGCAGGGGCGTGCATGCCAAGCTTCCATGCTCTCTCTGGGCACGTTACCTCATACACCCCTACTTTCAGCAGTCAGAAGCTCATCAACCCTCTCTGAGAGCTTGATCTCCAGCACTATCCCTCCCCTCTTTCTGGAGGCTGGTGGGTGGGGCAGAAAGCTCCAATCTTCTAATCCCATAATTACTTGGTCTTTCTGGTGTCTGGCCCCATTCTGAGGTTATCTGTGGGGCCTACTCTAAGCTACTGCATTAGCATAAACTCAGTTGTTATCAAAGGGTCTCCCTATGAATGATACTCCTATCAAGCTGGAAATTCCAGGGGTTTTAGCTCTGTGACAAAGACCAAATACAGTTCATATTATACCACACTTGTATTCCCCATCTCCAATGCAAAGAGATCAGGGTAGGGCAGGCTTCCAACTAGAGTGCTTAGGAGTACACACACACACATGTCCACACACACACGTGCACACACACACACACACCAAGGCACAACACACACATGTTCACATAGAGCTACACATTTTTTGCACACATGCATATATGTTTACCATCATAAGACAAACATGTACACATGCACAACCACACACACAGGCATGCAGGCCCATACACATGTATACACATATGTACATATGTGTCACACATGAACATTCACACATATACTGAAACATGCACTCATTCATAGGCCTGCATTCATCTATAGACACAAAGTCACTCATGAGTGTGCATGGATGCACACAAGTACACATACACACCACACAGGTATGTAAGCACACACACACCACCACTCAGAGACATGTGCTTACAACACACATTCACCTGGACATGTGCACACACCCACCATACACACTTGAGACTTGAGGCTGCCCTCTTGTCCCTGTCATGGCCATGGCATACATTCCAGTCAGAACTCTCCCTTTATAAGGCTATCCAAGAGAAGGTGTGTGTCCGTCTGTTGTGATCTGTCCTGAACGATAGGACCTCCACGAGATGGTCCTAGGTGCTGACAGGACAGCCCTTCAAGCCTGGCTCATTTGCCTTAGAATCAGAAGACCAGGGGTGCCACACCAGCATAAAGCAGAAGGCTCCAGTCAGAGGTGGTTTGGTGGGGGGGGGGGAGAGAAAGAGTAAGTGTGGGGGATTGTGGGGAGGAAGGGATTGTATTTTGACCATCTCAGCCTTAAATAGAGAAGCTGCAAGCACAGAATGGAGTTATTGATCTAGGTGTATTTAATTTATATTTACAAAAATTCAACTCTTTTGGAAGCTGAGGCATGAGGATGGTGAGTTCAAAGCTAGCCTCAGCAATTTGATGATGTCCTAAGCAACTCAGCAAGACCCTGTCTCTCTATAAAATAGCAAAAAGGACCAGGGATGTGGCTCAGTGTTTAAGCATGCTGGGTTCAATCCCTGGTACCAAACCAAACCAAACAAACAAACAAAAGAATTTAACTATACTTGCTTTGGGGTTGGAATGAGAGGGGGCAGGGAGGGAGAGAAAAAAGAGGTAAAGAGACAGAAAGAGAATATTTAAATAGAGAGGCATCCGGTCTCTGAGTGAGCCTGAAATGCTAGAGTGCTATCTGTCATCTTCCTGATGGCTCTCAGTCCCACGTCCTCTGAGTGTGAGCTTCTCACAGCCTTTCTTTGCACAATCTGTCCCCAAACACTTGCCAGCCTCTTCATCTGGTCGTCCCTCCCCTCACAAGTGGTTGGGGGCGGGGCTGCAGTGAAGGAGCAGCTGGCTGGGCTGTGCTTTCTTGATGATGGCCTGTCAGTCTCCAGCATGGCACCTCCCTGGGTTTTTTTGGGGGGTGATGGGGACTCAGCAATCTTCGCTCTGTGAGCTAACTTGAGAGCTCCTGTGGTCACTGCTACTGCACCGCCCTTGCACTGGTGCACTTGGCTAAGCACTGTGTCTCCAGGCTCTTTCAGGATGAGACCTTTAAGCAGGCTAAATCATAGGGGGGCGTGGTCTTGCCCTGCCTCACCCTCCAGTGGAAAGCCAGGGTTTTTTGCTCTCTGTGACTGCCTAGGCTGGAAGGTGGCTTCTGAGGACTCTTGCTATGGGCAGGGTCCCAAGGTCTCTTACCTCGCGGGTAGGTTATGACTGGGTGTGGAGTATGCCTGTGGTACCCAGTGTGTGCCTCTCCCAGGAGCTCCTGAGCTGCGTCATCACCCGCTGCTGCCAGGGCAAGGAAAGCACTAAACGGCTTGGCTGTACGTGTTGGTGCAGCAGACCCTCAAACTTGTACCGACTCTTTAGGATGCGTGAACATGAATCCCACTGACATGGAAGGAACACTGCTGATTTCCCCTTTTCAAGGAGGAACTGACATCGCCATGCAGCCCCAAGTGTGAAATAACCACAAGCTGACCAGGGAGGGGGATCCACGAGCCCCAGGAATGAGTACCTTGTCCTGTTGCCAGTGTCCTCACATTTGGGGTGCCTGTGGGGCTGCTGCGGCTTGATGTGTGGAGGCTGTCCCGGTCCTCCTGGCTCTCCCGCCGTTTCCTTTCTCTAATCAGGGGTGGGAGGTCCAGTGGTGGTTTCACATTCAGGGACAGAACACTGTCAACTTCAAAAGTAGAAGGGGAAAAACAGGAGTGAGAGCTTCTGCATCAGCAGAGGGAGAGCGGATCTCTTTCCTAACTTGGTTGTTAGTTCCTGATGCTTAGGATGATGTTCCTCTCTTTTCCCATCTCGCTAAAGAACAGGGACCAGATATCGCCCGTAGCCAAGATGAAATTGCCCTTCATTTGGGGAGGAATTGAGTCTTGGTGTTTGTTATTCTCATCTTATGGGTGGGATCCTGAGATGGAAGTAGGACTAGAGATGCTGCAGACTCCTTCCACCCCCAATCTGAAGGCTCTGACAAGGGAGACCCCAGCTTTAGAGCTCATGGGATTATTGGATACAGATTTCTGACCACAAAATGATTTTTTCTAGGAGGAGCCAATGGCCACATTCCATACTTATGATATGTAAGGTAGGAAGTAAAGCTGCCCCTTAGTGTCCAGGACATGCTGGATACCCAGATCCTCAGATTCTCAAGTCCCTTATAGAAAATGGCATAGTATTTGCATAGAACCTACATGCTCTCATATACTTGAAATTATCTCTAGATTACTTATAATACCTAATACAATGTAAATGATTCACAAATAGTAGTTATACTGTATCATCTGGTGAATAATGGAAAGAAAAATATTTGAGTTCAGTACATATATATATGTATTTTGCTATTACTTTTGATTTGTTATTGGTGTGGATTTGGAACCCAGAGAAATGGATGGCTAAAGGTACCACCCTCCAAAGGATAGTCAAAGGGTCACAGGATTGATGATAACACTTGAGAAAGTACGTCATACCCCCACCTCTCTTCTCTCTTTTCATAACCCGCAGGGACTGGGCTAGGGTGGCTGAAACCCAGGAACCTAAGTGACTGAGCTTTGGCTTCATCTTTCAGAGAGAGTGATGTTTATTTCACGTCCAACACAACTGTTACTTTTGGGGTTTAAAAGCTGGCTTCCCATACCGCTTCAAAATATCACAGACTGCTTATTTATTACAAAGGAGAAAAAGAATCTTTGTAGAATGGAAATCTAGCAGACAGCATCTTTAACTGAGCAATGAAATTTAACATTAACTATAATCGAGCAAATTTACATTTTGTGTCCCTTGATGTGATGCACCGAGAAGGACACTACATCCTATGTGATATTCCTGTGAGAAATGTTGAATCTGAATCTCATTATGAGGAAACAGACCAACTGGGTGGTAATTCTGGCAACTGGCCCATCTTCTTCAAGAATGTCGATAATCAGGGCTGAGGCTGTAGCTTAGTGGTAGCGCTTGTCTCACATGTGTGAGGCACTGGGTTCAATCATCAGCACCACATAAAAATAAATAAATAAAATGCAGATATGGTGTCCATCTGCAGCTACAAAAATTTAAAAAAAGAATGTTGATAATCATAGAAGAGTCTGAAGAACTCCTCTATTAAAAAATTCCAAAGAGATGTGACAACTAAGTGTCATGCATGACCCTGAGTTGAATTCTGGATTGGAAAAACAAAAAATCTGTAAGGAATATTACTAGTATAATAAGAGAAATCTGAATGTGGATTGTATATTAGAAAATAGAATTACGTTAATAATACTTTTCTTGAGTGTGATAATTGTAGTTAGGAAGAGAACTTTCTTTCTCTTAGGAGATATGTAGTGATAAGGAATAAGATATAAAAATGTCTGGAACTTGCTCCCAGATGGTTTTACAATAAAATAAAATATGTATGTGTGAATATGAAGATATAAACATGGTTTCTGTGCTATTAAAGGTGAAATAATCCAGGGCTAAGCAAGAATATGGGCATGTGCAATCTCTGTGTCCATGGGACAGTCCCAATTTTTAGCTCTAAATGCCCTTGCAGCAAAGCATGGTGGTGCATACCTGTAATCCTTGCTACTCAAGAGGCTGAGGCAAGCAGTTTGCAAGTTCAAGCCCATCCTGGGCAATTTAGTGAGAATTTGTCTCAAAATAAAATAAAAAGGGCTGGGGATGTAGCTTAGTAATAGCACTACATGTATGTAAGTAAGTATATGTACTTAAGAATGTATGTATGTGTATGTAAATATTACCACATACCCCTGCATGAGGGTATGAGCAGAATGCCAAGAAAAACTTGCTTCTTTGGATCCCTTTCTTTATGCATCTACTACTAGGTTAGGTCACATCTACTACTAGGTTAACTCACATCTATGTATCACAGACTTCTTAATTTCTGCCTGGCAGGCTGGCAGGAGATGGACAAGCTCTAGATACTGAGCCCCTGCTGGGTGGATATGGCAACTCACAACTAGCAAAGAGCAGTGCAAGACGAACCATACTGAAGACAGAACTTGCCCATGTTGTCATTTATCTTGTGGCTGTTATGGCTTTCATCTGGAATGTTCCCCAAAGGCTCATATATGTAAAGATTTGTTCCCTAAGGCAGCAATGTCCAGAGGTGGGAGTTTTAGAAAATGATTAGATCATGAGGGCTCTGACCCTCATTGTTTAATTTGAACAGGGTTATTGGGAAGTTGGACCTGGTTAGAGGAAGTAAGTAAGTTACTGGGAGCTGCCCTGGAAGGACTGATCTTGTCCCTGGCCCTTTCTTCTCTCTTTCTTTCTGCTTCCTGGCTGCCATGAGCTAACAGCTTTTCTCTGCCACACCCTTCCACCATGATAATTCTGCCTCACCTTAGGTCCAAAGCAATGGAGCTGGAAGACCATGATCTGAAACCTCTGAAACTGTGAGCTCCAAATRAATTTTTCATCCTTTAAGTTGTTTATGTCAGACATTTTGGTCACAGCAACAAAAAAATGACTATTGCAGCACTTCTGGCTGTGCACTCGACAGGGCACCCATAGGTAGAAAGCTGCTTTCTTAACTAATTGCACACAGAGTGACCCTTGCCCACATTTCAATATTGTATAAAGGAAACTGTAAAGTCTTTAGGATGATGAATGCTCACATAACATACTGAATAAGCCTCTGCCCCAATAGTCAGAGGATGTTTTTAAAACCTACATGTTTCAAAAATGTCCTGAGCCAAGTTTATTGATGGATTTATTCTGAAAGGCAGTGCAGTGTAATGGGTGAAAATCTGAATTTTGGCCCTAGAAAACCCGAGTTCCAATCCCAGCAAGGTCACATGGAGTTGTGTGACTTCAAACAAGTCACTTATCTCTCAGGGCTTCTGTTTTCTGATTTGTACAATGAACATATAGGATGGTGGTGGAGTGCCTGAGATAATACATGTTAAAAACCAAGAACAGTGATTGGTACAGAGGGAGAAGGATATACATCCTTAACGTGCATTCTTCTCTTCCTGCTTTACTAGTCAGAGATCATTTGACATTGTGAGCGTGTCATCTTGCACATGCCTCTTGAAAAGAAGGCTCGGTTTTCTGAAAACGGGGAGCTTTCTAAATATGGTCCATCACTTCCAACCTATCTAACACATTAAAATACACACTTAGCTGCATGCATGTGTATAATTCCAAAGACCATATGATATTTTGAAAGCCTAGCATGAAGATCTTCATTGATATTTTGGACTTTTTAACAAACAAGTACATTTCCATAAACAGATTTAAACCGATTTTCATTGTTTAAAAACAATTAACTATATGGCATACAGCAAATTTTTAATGAGTTTGGTGCCATTTTACATCTGCAACCGGAAAATATTATAGAAGGATGATTTAGTGAGTAAGTAATTTGTGAGCTAGATACTAAGTTAGTTGTACTAAAGCACTTTGGTTAAGGCAGCTGCTGCCTGAACAAAAGCCATCTTCAAGTGCTTAGGGATGAACTGACCTCCCTTCCAGCCTTCTTTTTCTTGGCTGAGGCCCTTTGTGTGTCTTGCCTTGCGTTCCTTCAGGGTGAGATTCCTGTGGGATGCTGGAGGGAGGGAGGAGCTACCTGATGGAGAGGGCGTGTCCCTGCCTGTGTCCACTGGAAGATGCACAGTTATGGCCATTGGCCTTTGTAATGACGCATGCTTCAGGGGAGGCCTCCATAAAGGCCTGGCCTCTTCTGTTTCTGGTTCTGACTCAGGGCATGGAGCACCTAGGAGACAAAGAGAAAGCCAGTTGTAGTAGATGGCCATTGTTTTTGCCAGGTGTCTCTTTTTTGGGAGACCCATCCCTCCCTGGCTCATGCCATGTGCTTTGGGTGGAGCTCTGTCCGTTCCCTGACTCCAGAGTTGGGCATGTGACTATAGCCTAGATTGCAGGTGGACATTATTGCCTTAGCCACAGTGATTAGTTCTGGGGGAGGGATGTGTATGTGTGTGTGCACCTTGGGTAGAGGTGGTGGATACATAATCCAAGCTTGGCCAATCAGAGGTAATTTTGGCACTTCAGCAAGAGCTTTGATATATATATATATATATATATATATATATATATATATTTTTTTTTTTAATAAAGGTAAGCAGGTAGGAGGTTAGCATGGAATGCAGGAGGACATCTTTGTTGCCACAAGTGGGAGCATGCTTGAAGAGAGAAGGTAACATACCTGAGAGACTTAGCCAAGAGCTGCCCAGATATTTTATGAGGTCTAGGTCCAACTGGTCCTGGAATTAGCTGATCCTGCCTGCCTCCTTCCTTCCTTCTTCCCTCCTTCCTTCCCTTCCTTTCTTCCCTTCCAATACAGCAGTCTTGGGGTAGGCTTCTGATTTTACTAACTGAAGGAGTCCTCACTGTTCTTCAAAATCCTCTTGTAAAGGAAAGAAGAACCCAGTGGATTTACTTTCTTAATACTCTATTCCTATTTTCACTTGACAGTGTGTTGCTAAGCTCACTGTACCTAATAGCTTTCAGAATTTGGTTCATGATGGCCTAGTGGTCTTCCTAACCTTCTTGCCAGGGTCATCATGGAAAAACATCAGATTTAACCCTCTCTTGTGGATAATCTTTTTTCTGTTCATGTTAAGTATGTCTTTTGTTTGCTATTTTGACATCTGGAGCCTATTGACCCTGGGGAGACTGTCCCTCCCAAGGCTAGCCAACTCCTAGAGAAAGTAAATGACTATCCTGTGAGGGTATTTGTCACATGTAAACCAACCAATCCAGAGTCCTTAACACCTAATTATCTCCTTTATTGAGCTCTTATCCTTCTGGGTCATTATCTCCCTGCCTTAATCACCCCAGAGCCAGTACCAGACAACCAGGGATAGCCCTTATATCCGAGGGCCCACTGGATTAGTTAAACTAGCCAGTCCTAAATTTGCTTAGCCTGCTCACCCTGCCTTGTACATTGCTTCTGCAAAAGTCATAATAAAGACACTTCACACCCCCACCCTCACCCCTCACTTTCTGCCTCCTGACCAACCCCAGTGCTTCCCTATGTGGCCCTGAAGGTCCTGGTATGCCCACTTCTCTTGGAACCATGAATAATGAACCATCTTCTCAGTGCAATTGTTTTCTGATCTGTTGGCCTCATCATACCTGAATAAGACCTACATTTACAAGCACTGTTCTGTCATTGTTGTTGGAAGGAGCTTTTTTTTTTTCTTTTTTTTAAAGTAAAATCTACAAATAGTGAAATGCACAGATCTTAAGTATGCAATTCAATGAGTTTTGACAAATGTATCAGTCTATACAACCAACCAAGACTTAGGCATTTTCATCACTCTAGAAAGTTCTCTTATGCTCCCTTCCAATGACTGATCTTTTATCCTAAATATTTAGGCATTCTTCACAGTGAGAATTCCACATAGCCTTAGAACAAAATGGCCAGAAGTCAAAACTCTCTTAAGAAATCACTGGCAGTTTCTGATGAAGTTTCTAGAAAGTTCAGAACCCCTCAATATTGGAGTCACCTTTTGCTTTAGACTGCCCAAAAAAGTCCCAGAAGCAATAACTTGTTTGAGGCAAGCATACTACACAATGGCTTAGGAAGGTCAGAAAGAATTTCTCCATGTGACACAGGGTGAGAGATCACCTAGACCTTTTTCAAAAGCCTTCCTAAGTCCCCTGATTTCTCACTTGCACATAATGTCTTACAACTTGGCTGAGGTGAGGGCTGGGGTTGTAGCTCAGTGGTAGAGTGCTTGCCTAGCCCACCACACACTGGGTTCCATCCCCAGCACCACATAAAAATAAAAGTATTGTGTCCATCTACAACTAGGAAAATACTTAAATGTTTCTCTTTGGCTAGCAAGGCAATAAACCTTCTTTTTCCTTTTAGAAAGAAAAGAAAAAAACTTTTGCTGAGAAGCACAAAATCTCTGCCCTGACAAGGATTGTAGACGTCATCTGTTAACATAATAACCTAATTCAAAATCATGAAAATGACTTTTTGGACAAACTTTTATCTTTCTTTTATAAAATGAAGGCTCAAAGATCCAAGAATTATTTTTACCTTGATTGCCAGGAAACTCTGCTAAATTCAGTTGTTAGCTGTAACTTCATCCCCGATGTCTAATAACATCTATTTTCTGCTCCTTTTAACCAGTTTTTTAAAAACAATTTCAATTCGAAATGTCTCGTTTGGTATTGCATTTGTTTTGTTTTGCACGCTGCCTGAAAATTCCTGCACATTTATAACACCTGTGGTGCACTGGACCTGTTTATGGGCATGCCTGTCTTTGTTTCCTTTCCTGCTTCAGCAAAATGTGCTGCTTAATGAAGGACTCCATAAATATTTTAAAAATTCAATTAAATGTGACCAGAAGAGACCCAATTCTAGATTTTATAGTTACCCCTTTTACTTCTTTTAAAGAAATTTATCTGAAGAGGATAACCCTGGGAAGTTCAGCCTTGATTCAGGAGTGTGTTGCTGGCAGGAGGACCCCAAGGGTCAGTCCTTTGTTGCAGGCCTGAGTTCTCTCAGGAACACCCATAAAAGGTACCTACCTCTTCTGCAGGCTTTTTCTTTTGGGGGGTGTTTGGTGTGGAAATGAATCTCCATTGGGATGATGAAGAGCTCTGTTGGGGGTTCATTAGCTTTAAATTGCCTCCTCAGGGGGTTGGGGACTCTGGGTGGTTCTTCTGAAATGGGAGGTAATTTCAAAGCCTTTGGCGCCTGAAAAATTTAAACACAAAATCAACATGGCAGGTCTCCAAACCCTGCTGCCTGCAGGGGGCAAACAATATTGTATCTTATTGTCTATCTTGCTGCAGAAGCTGCTGGGGAAAGGAGCAAAACTAATCCAGCTCCTGCCTTCAGTGGGGCTGCTTGGCTTGTCTCTTGCGAGGATGATATGTGCCGGCATCCTGCCTTGGATTATCCTGAGAGTTACCAACAGAGTTAAGAGGTTTTGAGAGGACATATTGTCTTTCTTTCTCATGAAGCTGGGTAAACTGATACAAATTGAAATGATATCACTGAGACCTCTATGTATGGAGAAGGAGAAATCTCCACATATATTGTTAAGGGGCAAAGCCAGGTCAGAACATTGTTTGACTGCAAACTTTCAGGTATGAAGGGGCAGAATATAAGAATATGTATTTGTGTTTGTTTAACCTAAGGTAACCTCTCTAAGCCTCAATGTCTTCCTCTGTAAAATAAAGGTAATTAGATACAGTGGCACATGCCTGTAATCCCAGTGACTTGGGAGGCTAAGGCAGGACGATCACAAGTTTGAGGCCAGCCTCAGCAACTATGCAAGACCCTGTCTCAAAATAAAAAAATAAAAGGGGCTGGAGATATAGTTCAGTGGTASAGCACTCCTGGGTACAATCACAGGTAAGGTGTGGGGGAGATAAAAGTAATCATATTACCAATCTCTTAAGGTTGTGTGAGGATTAAATGAGTTAGTATATGTAGTTACAATAGTGTTTGGAATTAGGGTTACTTCTATGCTATTTCTCTGAGAGTAGGTTATTTTTAAATTTTTAGTGTTTAATACCTTATCTGGCCTCTGGCAGAAAATCTAAGCTTCACAATTATATGAACATAGCTAAAAAACAATCATCAACCATGTGTATCAGAATCACCAACTAAGTTGGCCCAATTTCTTCTTCTTTTTTTTTTTTAAAGAGAGAGTGAGAGAGGAGAGAGAGAGAGAGAATTTTTTAATATTTATTTCTTAGTTCTCGGCGGACACAACATCTTTGTTGGTATGTGGTGCTGAGGATCGAACCCGGGCCGCACGCRTGCCAGACGAGCGYGCTACCGCCTGAGCCACATTCCCAGCCCCCAGCCCTTGGCCCAATTTCTTTCTGTTCACACACACACACACACACACACACACACACACACACACCATGGTATATATATTTTTATACACATATATATTATATATATGTAAATATGCACTTACATATATACATATAAAATATACATATTAACATGGTTGAAAAAATGTTATACATTTATGAGAGAGAGATAAAATAAGGGTATTACAGTCTCCCTTTTCCAATTATTCAGAAGTTGTTGAAAATTTCACTTTTAGCTTGCAACTGTTAACGTATGAACTTGGCTCTATGAAATGTATATGGTCCTGGACTTCAGAGAGTTCGATTTCACAGGAGGAAAAATAAAAACATTCTCATTTTTTCACTGTGTAAAAAGAAAAAAATGATCAGAAACACACGTAAGCATCCTCTATGCTTACAGTTGATTGAGGAAGGAAATTCTTCCCAATTTATGCAGGATAATGTTTATAATTTTGAGACATTAAGAAAATGATTAACCAAACACATGCACATAAGATCTTTATGCTCCTGGAGACCTTCCCTGTCCAGGTGCCTGTTGCCCACTAACTGCCCTTTTGTGAATACTGACCTTGTGCATTTAGTGTGACAAGGACTGCATTGAGAAATCTGTGTGGAAACTCAAACTATTTGTGTGAGGTATGGTTGACAAGCCAAGACTTAATTTCTTTATTCTAATTAGAAATTCACACAGAGTTTTAATATAGTGGAAAATATTGCTCTCCTCTGTTAAATGAATACTTGGTTGAGGGAAGAAACTCCTTTCCTCTTCCTCTGAGCCTAGCTTAGCTCCGGCCTGAGCCAGGCGTGAGAGCCAGGCCTTTCCTTAGACGTGTGGTGACTCTGACAGGTCAGACCTGCTGTTTGCTCTTGGCCCTTCTGGTGTGAGTGGAGAGGTTTAGAGCAGCTCAGACACAGGAAAACAGAAAAACCTGAGTAGAATGAAAAACGATGCTCCTCATGGGCACTAGCACCACCTGAATGCCCACAGATCCTTCAGGGACACTTTAGATTACCCAAATCTCCACAATTAATTAATATCATGGTAGTTCCCATATAGACAGAAGATTCTTTCCTCATCTGTTCTCATCCTTCCATCAACTGCAAAATTGGCATCATTATCCAGGCATACAGATAAAGGCACTGTGGCTTTGATATCATAAATGACCTACTCTCATTCACGTAGCTGCAATGAGGCAGAACATTCTGGAACCCCTAAGCATTCCCATTCATCACTGGTGCCTCTAAAACCATCAAAGACCCATATAGAATTGCAAGGCAGAACCAGGCCAGAGACGGTCAAGGACATCTCTGAGAATGGATTTCTGGAGGGGGTTGATAAACTTACAAAATTTACTCTATATTTGCAAAGGTAGACAGACCCTCAATTGACCAAAGTGTTGCTGGAGTCAAGTTTTCCCACATTTTGAGTTTGAAGCAGGTCCATTGTTTACAAGCCAAATTCTGTCCTTGCTTGTTTATAGATAATCCCTAGGTCCTTGCTGGGTGCACAGTGGCACAGTTGCTTGGGAGGCTGAGGCAGAAGGATCGCAAGTTCCAGTTTAGCCTGGACCGCTTAGTAAGCCTCTGTCTCAAAGGAAAAAATAAAAAGCTCTGGGGATGTAGCTCAGTGGTGGAGCACCCTGGGTTAAATCTCCAGTAGTGAAAGAAAAAAAATCCCCAGCCCTTTAACAGAACAAAGGATTCTGGTGCCCCTAGAGAGAGTGTGGAAGAGCATATGCTTTAAAGGTATAATTGGGGGCAGCTGGATTCCTTGATCTTGATGATTTTTAGTACTTAGGAAGTTACTACAGCTCTTTCCCAGCTCTACCTGCTGCGCTCTGAGCTAGAAAGGCTAGTTCTCTATTGAGACATCCCTTTGAGTCACCTTGTTTCTAAAGAAGGATCACACACACACACACACACACACACACACACACACTCACACACACACACGCACAGGCACACACATGTGTGCACACACACCTTTTTTTTCTTTGCTTCCCCAGGGGTGTTTTGTTCTGAGCCAATGGCAGATGTTATTGGAGGGAGAAGGCACCTTGCAGCAGGAAGCTCCTGTGGCAAGTGGCTGCCTCTGGCCCTGTGCCATTTCATATTTCCTTGTTTGTCTGTAGAAACAGGATGGGAATGAGAACCTATTAGCTACAGGTATGGAGATGGACAGTTGACTTTAAACTTTTATCACTTTTTTTTTTTTAAAGGGAAGAAAATCTAGGAGGGTGTGGAGACTGAGATGGCCAAGGCTTTATCTGAGGCAGGGTCAGGGAGTCCCAATCATTCTCTGTGTTGGGTTCTGAGTCAGCTGATGGAGAGAATGACAACAATAATAACTAATATGTATTGAGCATTAACTGTGAAAAGAGAATTATGCATTAACTCACTTAATCCCCACAATACTCTTGTGGAATATTATTATTCCCCTTCTACAGAGGAGGAAACTGAACCTCAGCCAAATTAAATAATTTGCCCAGGATTATAGCTAGTAAATGGGGGATAGTTTGAACCCAGACATTCTGATTGTAGAATTTGCATGGTTAAGTACCAGGCAAGGAGGTATCCCCCCCCCCCCCGCTATTATTTTCTAAGGTGAGTGGCACACAGAAGTGACATTCATCATGCCTGTGTTCTCAGGTGAATTCTGCACAATTAGTTTTAACTGGATCAATTGGACAAGAATTTTAGTTTCTTACCACTGAGATCAGCCTTCCTATTGGGGAAGGCACCTCCATAAAATGTCATGTGGGATTTGTCACTCAGGAGCCAGGAATGACTGATGTAGGCATGCCCAAGGGCCTTCTTGGAGGTTTGCTGTGTCTTTTCATTGTGGCTTTCCTCTGAAGCATGTATATGAAGATGATCCTCCACTGATGTGTCCTAGGGAACGACAGATACACAGAACTATAAACAGGCTGTCACAAAGCAACAGAACAGGTTCCTGTAACAGCCCCTGTGGCTAGACTTGTGGTTCTACGGATGAAATTTGTTTTGCAAGCTGGAAAGACATACAAAGCTGTGTGTAACAATGAAACATTTTATTATTGATGATAGAGAGAATGATATAGTGCGTTCTTTGTTTCTTTTTGATACTGGGGATTGAACCCAGGGGTGCTTAACCACTGAACCATATCCCTAGCCCAACATAGTGCTTTCTTTAAAAATTGTTTTTTAAATGAAAATAAAAATGAAGTGATTGTATCATTGCCTTTATCCATTATAAAATGTCTCTCCTCTCCTTTCTTTAGCTATGAGGCTCTTTCTTGGCATATGACCTTGTAAATCAAACAAGTTTATTCAAGATGGGAGCAGATAATGTCTATGTTGCTCTGAACAACTGTTATCTCATACCACTCCCCTACACAGGCCTTCGAGTTGATAAAGTGTTTCTACATTTTAAGTCATTTAATCCCCTTAGTAACCTTGTGAGAAATATATGATTATAGTTCCACTTTGTAGAAGAATTCATTCAGATTCAAAGTTAGTTGAATTTCTTTTCTTTTTCTTCTTCTTTTTTTGGTATCAGGGATTGAACCCAAAGGCGCTTAAGCACTGAGCCACATCTCCAGCCCTTTTTATGTTTATTTTATTTTTAATTTTTGAGACAGAATGATAGAATGACATAGTGCCTTCTTTCTTTCTTTCTTTCTTTCTTTCTTTCTTTTTTTTTTTTTTTGGTATTGGGGATTGAACCCAGGGATGTCTTGCTAGGTTGCTTACCGCCTTGCTAAATTGCCAAGGCTGGCTTCAGACTTGAGATCCTCCTGTCTCAGCCTCCCAAACTGCTGGGATTACAGACGTGTGCCACCACACCTCCTTTGAGACAAGGTCTCACTAAGTTGTTGAGGCTGGTCTCAAACTTGTGATCCTCCTGCCTCAGTATCCTGAATTGCTGGGATTACAGGCATGTGCTACCATGCTCAGTTCAAAATTAGTTGAATTTCTTGTACCATGTTTAAAGCCAAGAGCTCTTCTTCCTAGATAAGGCTACAGATGGGGTGAAGAGTCAAGGGAGGAGCCGTGGTTCAATGATTTGGAAAATCTGGAGTTAAATAAAGTTAGGCTGGTGACTTCACTATAGGATTGCCTGAAGTGCTCCATATCTAAGTGTGTCCACTGACTTTGCTTGAAAAGATGTGCAGCATTTCCCCAATGTCTTTTGCTATAAAACCCTTTTCTTCAAGGAATATTTGACAGTGTTCTTTAAGGAATATCTCAAGTGACACTTGAGAAACTGGTCGAAGCATTCTTCTCTGGAGAACCCCAAGAAATGGCAAAGGGAGGAAGGATTCCATAAGTTTGCAACCATGTCACACAGAGTTCATTAAAGTGGTACCTCTGCTGGGGTTTTCTCTTCCTGCCAGGGCTGCTTCCTATGTGGCAGCAAGTGAGTCTCTCGACTACTACGGTTCTTGGCTACAGAGTCCTGGTTCATGTGTCCACCAGCCCCAGCTTCCTCTTCATCCAGGCCCCATTGACCTGCAAGAGTGGACAGTAGATCAACCTAGAACCCCAGAAATGGGCATGGTGATTTTGCTATCTCCAAATTGCCTCCCATCTTGCTTCTTTGAGCAAAAGTAGTCAAAGCCCTTGTTTCTCCTGCCTCTCCTCCTTTACTTCTATTTTTTTTTTTCTGGTAGTGCTTCTATATAAATGGCAGCCAATTGCTGGAAACAGGGTCAGGAGACTAGGGGAAGAGGCTCTGTTGACCACTGTTTTCTCACCTGCAAGGTGAGGATACTAATTTCTTGCCCTTACTTCCTTGCAGAGCTGTCTGGAGCTCAAATAAGATAATGAATGTGGCTGCCTGGGATTTGTGGATTTCAGCGGTGGCACTGTGGTGGTGTGACCTGCAGCCTTGCTTGGTTGTCATAGAGATGCTCCAGTCTACAGCAGGCTCTTGGATTTCCTGGGTGTCTCCCCGTTGTTTACTTAGGGAAAATCCCTTAGGTGTGCAGCGAGGTGGGACTGCTGCTCAGCTCTCTGGATTTACCCTGTCTGCAACCCTTGGGAGGGATCTGAGTCAACAGATGACTCCAGCATAGTTAACAAATCTTTCATCAATGGTTTAAAGGGTCCTGCAGCTATTTTCATCACTTACTCAAGGTAGATTTATTGCTGAAACTGTCTGGCAAACCTTCCTTGTTTGGAGCCAAGCTTTAGCAATCCCTTCATTCCCAGCATGCAGCTCTGCGGAACAAAGCAGGGTTGTCTTTCAATCAGGGGCTCTGGAAGCCTTCAGGGGCCCTGTGTGAGATAGACTTCTGGGAGCTCCTCCTCCTTCCCCTAGCCGGCCTCACTGTTCCTCTATGCTCCCCAACCCTCACCTGCCCTCATCATTCCCTTCCTTGTGTGTTGGGTCAAGAGCTGAACGCTCATGAGTGGAGCTGCTCACCCCCTCCAGCTCACCTGCCTCTGCCTATTGGTTCCTGAAGCCTACTCTGATTGATGCTGATTCTGTTGGTGGCTGTGACACAGGTGCAGGTTCCAAAGTCTGCCCAGGTTTTAGTGGCCCAGGGAAGCCTGAAGCCTGATGAGTCCTGGGGATTCCTCAATCTAGGTGGCCCAAGGCCACGTTGGACTTGCTCCCTAGGGGATCTCAACTCCAACTGGAGTGCAACACTGAAGAAGACCTTTTGGGGTATTCTAGAATGTTTCTTTGGGGTCCAGTCAGACTACAGATGCATCCTTCTTGGAGCCGGATATACTTTTGAGGTTGGAGAAAGTGAGACTCTAGTCAAATGGTCCTTCACTCAACTGGGTGACATATTAGTGTCTAAGTTGGGACAGGGGCATTGTGGTAGGGGAGAGAGAATCATCAGCCTCTTTGGCCACATCTCAGGTGAACTCAATCTATGTGATGGTAACAAGAATTTTATCTTCGTAAATGTCATTATCCAGCTCATTTGTTTATGCTTAATGGAAACCAGTTTGTAAGAAAAGTACTGGAAATTTCAATTATTGAAAGAAGCCCACAGAACTGTCTCTCTGTATCTCACGTATGCAGGGGAGGGGGCATCCAGATAGCAATTCGGAGCTTTTAGGGAGCTTTTTCCCTCTGTCTTCACCTGTGATTTTCTACACAGCCAGAGAGGAAGGAATGCAGACATCCTTACTCGAATTTTACAGAGAGGCAAGCCAAGGAGGCAGGGAATGTGAGCAACTGGGCCAATGGCTTGCCTCATTGTTGGGGGGCCTGGGGCTTGCAGTCAGGACTTTTGCTACTTCTCCAGATAACGTGTTTGGCAAAGAGAGGGAGGCCAAGGGGAGATAAGGTTAAAAACCAATGAAAACATTAATCAGGTTTCAAGTTATAGCCTCTGAGCTCCGTTTACTTCTTAAAACATTAATTTTTTTCAGCCCCTGTGATTATGGGCAATTGGGCATTGCAATCAGTTAGTAATTATACTTAAAAAACAAGAGCTGGGAAGTTCATAATTAATATTTATTGAGCACTTACTATGTACCAGGTACTGAATTATCCCATTTAACTCCCACATATGACCTTGTGAAGTAAAGGTGATATGGTCACCTCCATGTTATAATGAGGAACCCAAGACCCAAAGAGGTCATCTAGCTTGGAACCTGGTGCTAATGGCCACATGCTTAGTTATTATTCTATACTGCCTCTGTGTCCCTGACTGAAACTGTGACAACTCTGTAAATCTCTGTAGTATAAAATAGCTTGCAGACAGATCACAATGATTTCCTGTGCAGTAACCATGTAGGTCTTGATGTGCTGTTGCAGGGATGAGCAAACAGAAACTCAAAGAGGTAAACTGACTTGCTCAAGATCCTATAACTTGGGCTGGAGTTGTAGCTCAGTGATACAGCACTTACCTAGCATGTGTGAGGCACTGGGTTTGATCCTCAGTACCACATAAAAATAAAATAAAGATATATATATAATACTGGTTTTTAAAAAAAGTTCCTACATCTTGTAAATGACAGAACAACCACAACAATTCTGATTTCTGGCTCCAAAGCTTATTTTTCCCCCATATAATATTGCTACTAAAAAAAATCAAAGGATTAAAGAATATTCAAGTAGAATAGACCTAAGAAATCATCTAAAATATAGATTCTATGCATGCACAGCTCAATACAGTGTGTATATATATATATATATATATATATATATATATATATAGCCATGAGATACATGTGGCTATTTAGATGTAAATTAATTAAAATAAAATAAAATAAAAAGTTCAGTTTTACCATTGTAGTAGCTACATATCAAATGCTCATTAGACTTAAGTGGCTGATGGTTACTGTATTGGACACTATATAGAACATTCCATCATTTCAGAAAAAAAGTACTCTTGGATAGTGCTGGTTTAGACTAACCCCTTCGTTTTATAGATGATGACAATGGAACATAGAATCCCTAGATCTTATTTTCAGAAAATCCATTTTAAGGTGTTAAAATCCAAATATTTGAGCACTAGTCCCAAAAGCAACATGTACCTTGTTCAAAAGATTTTTCTTGTTGAATCCAAAATGGAGGGAAGACAGGCAGGAGATGGTATTTTGGGGGCACACCTGAAAGATCCTGTTGTGGCCTGAGACTCTTTGGCACATTAAGTTGACTTTCCTGAAGCAGCACAGAATCCTTGATGTGTCCTGAAGAACAAGTCAGAAATTATTGGTAGAAATATGGTCTCTGATCTAGAGTTTTGAAAACAACAAGTTTCCCCACTTGAACTAGTCTTGGCTTTGGGTAATGCCCATAAAGGAAGATAGTTAGAAGAAGAGAGGGATTAAGAAATGAGATTGAGCCTATTGAGGTTTCTCTGTTCTTCTAGTCTTATGCTATAAGTATGCTTCTTTAACTTCACCATTCCCCAAAACTGGATCTTCCTCATGTAAGAAACATGGCTGTTTCCTTGGAGTTGGGTGAAAGGCTCATTCTGCCTAGGAGGAGGGATCCAATGGTAGTGGATATATCCTGTTTGCTTCTGTGGGCCTTCTCAGTCTAGTCATTAAGCAAGTTTCTGTTGAAGGCTTGCTTACCCTCTGTCAGGCAGTAGGGTGGATACAGCAGGACCAGACATGGTCCCTTTTTAAAGACACTCAGTCTATTGGACAGACAGAGCTCCTTTGTGCTCAACTGTGTGGCCCCGAGTGTCAGTAAGGATCGTAAACAAGAATTTCAGTATGGGCTGGAGTTGTCAGAAAAGCCTTTGGAGAAGATGTGAACTTGAAAGGTGTAGAGAATATCTCAGAGGGTCAGAATGAAGGGACCAGAGAACATACTAGCATCACAAACATGGTGGGCTCTGAGATATGACGGAGGGAGAGAGTGGCAGGGGCTATTGGGCAGGTCATTTCTCACCAGAGTCTATCCATTATTTCTCCAGCTTGAAGGCCTACCTTTAAGAGGAGCTTAGGTAAAAAGTTATGAAAAGAGCCTTCAGGTATACACACACGTCTTTTCTTAAACCACATGCTTTAGCCATTTGACTCCCGTAGAAGAGTCTGTGACATATTTTGATGTTAAGAGGAATTAACCTTCCTTCCTTCCTTCCCTCTCCTTTTCTTATGGTACCAGGGACTGAATCCAGGGGTGCTTCACCACTGAGCCACATCTCCAGCACTTTTTAAAAAAAATTTTAAGACAGGGTATTGATGAGTGGCTAAGGCTGGCTTTGAACTCATGATCCTCCTGCCCAGCCTCCTGAGCTGCTGGGATTACAAGTGTGTGCCACCATGCCCAGTGGTCCCTTCTTTCTTAGAGATGTTGGGCTCAGGCAATGGGGCAGTGGCCTTCTCTGCCTCAGCCCCATCCAATGATAAACACATCTTTGGTTAAGGGGCTCTTTCTCTCAAGTGCTGAATAAATGAACTGCCTGCGACCATGGTATTGCCATGAAAGTAAAGCCAATTACTGGACAAGCCCACATCTCTCATTTTGCTTCAAGTCACCACTTACTAGGGAGAGAGCTGTTTTCTCGACTCTCCCAGGGTAAACCTATAAAGGAAAAAGAAAGCCAGAATTCTTCTGGTCTTGCCTGTTTGTTGGTGCTGAAGAGATGGCAAATAGCAGAGTGGGTACTGGCAAATATTACAGCTTACCTCTCATCCCCAGTAGGTTTGCCAAATAAAATACAGGATGTCCAGTTAAATTTGAATTTCAGGTAAACAATGAATACTTTTTTAGTTGAGGTGTGTCCTTAAATATTTCAAGTTTAGCTGTGTGTGTGTGTGTGTGTGTGTGTGTGTGTGTGCACCCTCAACCTGGCAACTCCAATCCTCATTTCCCGTTTTCATTTTTAAGCCTTTGAAGAGTGCATTTAGGGTCTCTGTTCTACAGAAGGGTGTCCATCTCACCCTTAAGGGAGTTATGCTGGAGAGCTACCATCTTCAAGAGGTCCTGGAGGATCTGAGATGGCCTCAGATGGGGAGCTGGGGAATGTTGGCAAGAATGTGGAGCTGAGGGTGCAGGGGATCTGACTTCTGGCCCCAGCTCTGCTTTTGACTGATTTTGGACAAATACTTTGCTTCTCTAGGTCCTGTTTTTTCCTTACCTTATAAATAGTGGAAGTTAAATTGGAGGGTCTCTGAGGCCCCTGAGTGGGGGAGTTTGGGAAGAAAGTTCTGGCTTGGGATGTGGAGTGTGAGGCGTGAAGGCAAGACTTCAGTCTGTCCTTCCCTTTGCAAATTCTGAGGGAGGATAAAGGGCCATGGCCGTGATAGAGACTTGCAGGCTACTGAGCTCAGGGACTTTGCTTTAATACACAATTGGGCCTGAATTCCTGGTGCTTCAGGTCTTGATGGAAAACACACCCTCCCACCAGAATGAGAAGTGGGGCAGCCTGGGGTTCACCCCTCCCATTCTCCCACTGACCTGCACATTGGAACCTGTACATGGTGTCAGGGGGCCAAGTCCGCAAGAGGCCTCGGAGGTATCTCTTAGCTGAATACCCAGGTTGGATCTTTCTTTGGGCCTGGCTGTCTGGCTGACTTCGGAAGTACAGGTACGGTTGCCAGGCTCTGTCCTGCTCCCTCTGTGGGGACACCAGGCAGAAAAGAGCACATCTGATGAGCCCTGAGCTTCCCAAAGATGCAGGCTGGTTAGCACAATCCTCGTCAGTAATCCAGAGGCTCCCAGAGGTGACAGAAGGCACCAAAACCAGATGCCTTGGCTAATAGACATAAACCAAGAGCCTATGGAGCAAAGCCCTGAAAGGCCCCAGCAGATTTGCAGTTGGAAGGGGAAGGAGAAATGACAAATCCCAGACCCCATCTTGAGATAGAGCCTTAGAAAAGGATAAAGCCTCAGAAGAAAATGCATTACTTAGCTCGGCCTGTGGAAATCATTTTAGTCCCTTTAAAAATGGCTCTGCACGATGGGAAAGCCAGTGGGAAAATGAACATCAGTACTAAGTGTTTGTAATACGAATGAAGGGACAGATAAGCCATGTCCATGTTCATGGGGAGCCTGGCATTTTGAAAATATCTGGCTCTGCTCTCTGCTGCATTTCATTTCAGCTAGGAAGAATTTTGGGGGAAATTTCCTGCCAAAGTCAGTCCTGCTCTGCAAGACGTTGCAGGGAATAAATGTATATAACATTTTACACTTGGCTAGGGATTCACGTTATACAAAGAACCTTCACCTTATTATAATCCTCTAAGGTAGACACTTAAATGATGCAGAGACTTCTCTCGGAAGATGATCGGTTAAGCATAAGAATGGCAACTGTGTGGTACTTGTATTGATATCTATCACTTTCCCCCTGTCCATGGCAGACATTACTAATCAATCACAGCATTCTTAACTACCAAACTCATTATAATATCAGAATCCATTCTTTCTTAAAACATTTTTTAAAAATTGAGGCATAAATTATACATATATTATATATTTATATATACATATATGCATATATGTGTGTGCATATATATACACATATATATTTACATATATATATGTATATATATACATACAAAATACAGAAAACTTCATCATCCCAGAAAGTTCCTTCATGCTACTTCATAGTCACTGACCTTCCACCTACCAGATAATCACTATTCTGATTTCTGGCACTACAGATTATTTTTGAACTTCATATAAATGGAAACATATATCATGTATTTTTTTTTAAAGAGAGAGAGAGAGAGAAATAATTTTTAATATTTATTTTTTTAGTTTTCTGCGGACACAACATCTTTATTGTATGTGGTGCTGAGGATTGAACCCAGGCAGCATGCATGCCAAGCGAGCGCGATACCGCTTGAGCCACATCCCCAGCCCATATCATGTATTTTTTGCTGCTCCATAAAAATGATCTACAATATTCCAATGAGAATTAGCATAAATATAATACTTATTTATCACTCTTTGGTTCAGCAACTCCCCCCAACACAATAACACAGACTGGGAAGATAAAGGGTGTCTTAGTTCAATTTCTGCTATCATAACAGAATCCTAAGATTGGGTAATTTATAAATACAGAGGATACACACACACACACACAAACACACACACACACATACACATATACACATATGTGTATATATGTGTGAGTGTATATCTATATATAGATATAGATATAGATATAGATATAGATATAGATATAGATATAGATATAGATAGGTAGATATAGGTATCTTGAGGCTGGGAAGTCCAGAATCTGGTGAGGGCTTTCTTATTGCATCATTCCTTGGCTGAAGAAAGAAGGACAAAGGAGGATGTGAGAATTTGCACACACGTACACACATGAAAGATGGGTGGAGAGATGGGAAAGGGGCTGAATTCATTTTTTTATCAGGAACCCACTCCCTTGATAACTAACCCAATCTCATGATAACGACATTAATCCTGACCACTTTTTAAAGGTCCCATCTTGAAACACTGTTGCAGTAGGGATTAAATTTCTAACACAAACTTTGATGGACACAGTTGAACCACAGCAGAAGGTAAATGGCTAAGCCAGTTACCAGTGGAGTCAGTACCAGAATCCAGGGCTTCAAAACACATAAGGGCAAAGCCTTCTGTTCTTTAAGAACTTATCATCTTGTCAATGGACCAGGACTAAGCACCACGAACCAGCTTGATGTCAAAGGAAGAGGAAATGACAGTTTTGCTTCAACAAGTGTCCTGGGGAGTAAAAACTGTGAGATTAGAGACACCAATGTGTTCGTGCTTGTTAGGATTCAGTAAAACCTGACTCAACAGGCTGATACAACGAAAAAGAAAATATATTAACTCAGATAACAAACAGACCAAAGTTTAGAGACTACCAGCGTTAGCTAAATCAGATGTTCAATGATCCAGAGGTTCAATAGCTCCAACGTTCTACAGGCACCAAATTCCTTTCTACTTCTGCCTTTTCACTTCAGTCTTATGGGCCTGCTGAGCCTGAACAGTGGACACAGGGAGACATCAAGTAGGTCCAGAAAGTACAAGCGAAAGATTGGAGAGAAGACATCCTGGGGAAGTGCCCCTGATGTAAGACCAGGGCATCTGGGTTCCAGGCTCATTTTGCCTCACAGGAATTTTGTGATCTTGGGCAAATCCTGGAGTTTTTCTGAACCTAGCTAATAGCATAGTGGAGAGAGTAGAAAGTTCATGGGGTTTGGAATCAAATAACCCAAGAGAGACAGCCAAGACAGGAGAATTGAAAGTTTGAGGCTGACCTCAGCAATTTAGCAAGACCCTCAGCAACTTAGTGAGCCTGTTTCAAAATAAAAACATAAACAGGTTTGGGGATGTAGCTTAGTGGTAAAGTGCCAGTAGGTTTAATCCTAGTATGAAAAGAGAGGAAAAAAAAGAAAGAAAGAAAAAGAAAAAAGTGTGTCATATATGTACAAATTTGGTGGGAGACTGGAAGATAACAGATGAAGATGCTAATAATGGCAGTTTGAGGGTGCTAGGCCAAAGAGTACAAGTAATTCTCCTATCTTTTTATAAAATCAAATTTTGAGTAATATGATTAGATTATAAATAAGAAACTAGTTAAAAATTAACTAGTTTCATGCTGCCCACCCCTTCTTATCCATATTTCTTGTCACTCCCCAATGTTATTCTAGACCTAATCACCCACTCAGAATTATTCTAAAAGATAAAAGGAGACAGAAGGGAGCTGGGAAGGGAGTCTCTGGAACAGGGGAGTAAACACAGCAGCAGGAGCTGGCTGTGGATGGTTTCAGCTTCCAGGTTGCCTTGACTTTGCCAACCCCCTCCCCCCACCACCATCTTCCGGTTTCTTTGGGATGAGCAATTAATGAATGCTGAGTGGCCTGTTATCCACAGTCCACCATGTGTGGCTGCTTCTTTTAACAAGAGACTTGCTCAGCCTGGCTGCCTTCCTGTTGTCTGCCAGGCCTACTAATGTGGAGGGGTAGAGGGGAACCTCAGCTGCCTGTCGCTGCCTTCAGATCAGCTGTCCTATGCACTCACCCCACTGCTGGCAGGATGGAAGGAGGAGGTGGGGCCTGTGTTTCTGCCCAGTAGATATGAGTGGCAGTGTGCCAGAATCCCTAAGAAGGGCAGAAGCTGGCTTGGACAGCCAGCTGCCACCTTACTGCAGAGGGTAGCCCAGGCTTTGTGTGCAGGAGTCCACAGAGGAGCAAAGAGAGAGGCCCATAAATCCCAGGACTGGCCAGCAAAGCACTCCACAATTCAGCCCTTACCCACTTCTTCAGGCGTATTTCTAGCCAGAGCTATGCCTATTGAATTGCCCTGAACTTCCTGTTCTCCATCTCCCCTCCAGGCCCAACTCACCTATGCCTAAGAAATTTATTTATTTATTTGTTTGTTTGTTTGTTTGTTTATTTAGGGTCCTTGGGATGAACTCAGGGGCACTCGGCCTCTGAGCCACATCCCCAGCCCTCCATTTATTTTCGACCACTAGACTCCACTCAAATTTTACCTCCTCCAAGAATCCACTCTAGCTTTTCCCAGTCAGAAGTGTCACATCAGTATAGGTAAAGATTTTGATAAGACTCCAAAAGTACAGATAACAAAAGCAAAAACAGATGAAGGAGATTACATCAAACTAAAAGGACTAACAGGTTTTTGCACAGTGATGGAAACACTCAAAGACACACCCTACAGAATGGGAGAAAAAAATTTACAAACTATTCATCTGAAAAAGGATTAATATCCAGAATATATAAGGAACTCAAAGTATTCAAGAACAAAAAACATACATCTAAAAAATGGGCAGATGATGTGAATAGTCATTTCTCAAAAGAAGAAATTCAAATGACTAACAAATTTATGAAAAAATACTCAACATCATTAGCTGTCAGGGAAAGGCAAATCAAAACTACAATGAGGTATTATCTCACTCCAATTAGAATGATTACAATAAAAAAGAAAAACTAACAAGGGCTGGTGAAGATGTAGGAAAAAGGAAACTCATATACACTATTGGTGGAAATATAAATTAGTACAGCCACTGTGGAAAACAGTATGGAGGTTCCCCAAAGAACTAAAAATACAACTACCACATCATCCAGGAATCCCACTGCTGAGTATATATCCAAAGGAAGAAAAATCAGCCTACAAAAGAGATAGCTGCACTGACACGTTTATTTTGGCACTATTTACAGTAGCTCAAATATAAAATTGACATAGGTGCCCATCAACTGATGGAGAAAGAAAATGTGATACACACACACACACACACACACAAACATACAATGGAATATTATTTGACTGTAAAAAACAATGATATCCTATCATTTGCAGCAAAATACGTACAACTAGAGGATGTTATGTTACGTGAAATAAACCAGACACATAAAGACAAATACCTCATATTCTCTCTCTCTCTCTCTCTCTCTCTCTCTCTCTCTCTCTCTCTCTCTCTCTCTCTTTCTCTTTCATATATGGATGCTAAAAAAGTAGATCTGAATGCAAAACAGTGATTATTAGAGGCAGGTGGGGGTGGAGAGAAAGGGAGATACAGAAAGAATGAATAATAGGTACTGAGATGCAATTAAATTGAAGGAATATAATTAAGGGTGTAGCTGAATGGTAGAGCACTTGCCTTGTGTG